ATAATATAAAGTAAGATAATTATATAAACTATATAAATAGAAGATATAATATAATTAAAAATATTTAATAATTTCTTTTATGAATTTTATTTATATCCCCTATATAGATACTAAGAAATTATAAAAATATTTAAAAGACTATAAGAATATAGATATTATTTCCTTAATATAAAATAATAAGTTAGAAATATAATATATTAATATAACTTATATATTAAGATATAAATATAATAATATAAACCTTATAGTACTTTATAACCTTTATTAATTATATAATAACTATAAGATTTAATTATAATAGATTTTATTATAAAGTTACTTTTATTAAAAGAACCCTTAATTAGTATTATCTATAATAATATTTTTATTATTATTAACTATCTTATAAAATTTATATATCTTATCTTATTTTAAGAAGTAATAAATATAAAAGAACTTTCTTATATCTTTCTATAATAAATTATTAGTACTTATAGATTACCCTTAGATATTATCTCTAATAAAAGACTTATATTTACTTTAAAGTTTTAATAAGTATTTATAATATAACTTAGTCTTAATTATAAACTTATTATAGTATTTTAACCCTAAGCTAATAAATAAACTAAAAGGATAAACTAAGTTATTAAATAATACTTATAATATTATATTAATTATAAATAAATTAATTAGGTTAATAAGTTACTTATAGCCTAATTAGCCTATAATATAGTATTTAATAAGAATATAAAAATAATACTAATTTTTATAAATTTTAATTTTACTCTAGATACTTACTAAATAAAATAAAAAGGACTAATTAACCCTAAAGCTATCCTTATTAATAATTAACTTAAAAACCTATATAAAAAAATAAAAATAGAACTTAAATTTATATAAAAATATATAGAGACCTATTATAACCCTAAGTAATTAAAAAGATTAACCTTTAAGGAAAGAGAGATAATTTACTTAGTAATAAAAAATATTATAATAAAATAATAAAATAAAAAACTTAATTATAAATATATTAGACCTTTTAAGATCCTTAATAAAATTAGAAAAAATAATTATAAATTAGACTTACCCCTTAAGATTAAGCTTTATTTAATCTTTTATATTTCCCTACTTAAAATAGCTAAAGATATTATTTATATTAGATATTATAATAAATTATAGGAAATTAATAAACTAGAAAAATATATAATAGAAAAAATTATTATTATATAAAGGATTAATAATAAAATAGAATACTTAATTAAATAAAAAGATTACCTTAAATCTAAGAATACTTAGGAGCCCCTAGAATATCTTATAAATTTATAGTGCCTCTTAAGAAACTTCTATTAATAATAAAAGGAATACTTAAAGCCCTAAGAAAACTAAAATTAAGTAAATTAATATAAATTAGACTCTAGATATCTTCGGTTAATAGGGACTCCTATTAATCTACTTATTTTAGCTCCTCGATAGTATTAATTCCCTTCTTTATTAGCTTAATGCCCCGAGATATTAATATATATTTCTGCCTCTAATATAATTCTAATTAAGATAATAATTTATTTAACTTATATTAAGTATACTTAAGATTCTCGCGATAAGAATTTAATAAAGCCTTAATAATAGCCTCTTAATTATCTAACCTTTTCGCCTTATTAATAATTTAACTTATTATAAGAATATATATTAATAAGAAAGTAATAATATATTACTTATCTAAGCTTATAAGATAATAATAGAGTATTAATTATATTATAAAGATGCCCTAAGTCGGTATAAAGACTATACTTAAGATAACCCTCTAATATCTTATATAGAATACCCTTTTTCTCGTAATAATTATAAGGTATAACTTTATAATTAAACTAGTTAATCTTAGTAATAATTAAATAATATATAATTATATCGCGGTTTAGATTAATAGATTTTCTTTTATTAATATAACTTAATATTATATTAGCTTAAGGAAGGTTTTTATAGGAAGAAGTTAAGATTAATTAATTAAAGGAACCTTAGCCTAAGAAAATAGTCTCGAGGGCGAGAACTAATAAGAGAAGAGAGATTATATTATAGCCTAATATATCCCCTATTATATATTAAAATACTCCCTATAAATTCCCTTTATAACTTACTTATTATAAGAGACCTTATTTCCTTAAGTGCGAGGCCTTTACTTAGACTTTACTTCTCTAAGTATAAGGCCCTTACTTAGACCTTATTTCATTAAGTACGAGGCCCCTTATATATATATAATATTTATTATACCTTAGATAAATATTTAGCCCTTAAGTTATTAATAGACTTTAGTTACCTTTAAGACCTTCTTAACCTATTATTAAGATATAATTCCCCTATTATATAGTAATACTAAGACTCTCTATTAATAATAAACCTAGCATGCCTAGTTTATTCCCTTGGAAAATACTAGATATTATACTAAAGTATAATAAATAGCTATTATTGCACTGACTGAGCTTAGTTAAAGGCTCGAAGAAGGGGGGTAGGGGTAGACTTTTAAGTAACTTAATAGAAATAATATAGCTAAAATATAATTAATTCTATACCTAAGACTTAATAATATAATAATTAATTACTAGAGTTTATAACTATTAAAAATAATATTATAATAACTTTAATAAAGCCTCTTCTAAGATAAATAAAAAGTATTATTTCTTTATTTATATTAGCTTAAATATTAAAATAAGAAATAATTAATATAAAAATTAAATTTATGTTTAATAAGCTATATTAAATAATTAAGCTATAAATTAATATTAAAATAAATATTATTATTATATTAACCTTAATAAATATAATAAAAAGAGACTTAAGTAACTTAAGAGAGAGCTTAAAAAAAACCCTTCTTAACTTACTTAGATTTTTTATAATTATAATAAAACTTAGTAATTATTAAAAAGCCTTATTTATATTTTTTAATTATAATATTTTATTTCTTTTATTATAATATTTAATATTTTCTAAGAGAATAAATTAAATATATTAGGTTTATTATAAATAGAGAGTCTTAGTATTATTATATAAATAAGAGAATTATATCTTAGTAATAAGTTAAAAAGGTCTTAAAGGTAATTAAAGTCTATTAATAACTTAAGGGCTAAGTATTTATTTAAGGTATAATAAATATTATATATATATATAAGTATCTTATAATTACTAAGAGAATATTATAATATAAGAATAAATCTTATAATATAAGACTTATTCTTAAAGTATAAGATTATCTCTAATTAGCTAGGATTAGAGGGTATTTTATAAGGAAGTTTTTAGGTATATAATAGGAATTATATTAAGCTATAATATTTATATAAAGATATCTTAAATAAATAAAAAAAGGAATTAGTATAAAACTAGTTTTATCTATTACCGAGCGGCCCATAACCGAGGCTGCGCTAGACCAATCAGAGGGCAAGGCATTGCGTAACATAAAGTGTCTTAGTTATAATATCCGGCCTTATAATCTACTCAGGCACCCCCGACGGCCGGCAAGTAGCGTTATGTTTTTGTACTCTCTGTATTTTATCTCTCGACGTGCGACGTGCGCACCTCAAGTCGCGTGCTTAATTCACGCATCTATTTGGACAAGAAACCTGCTGGGCAGCATCCCCAACCCGAAGAACAGCATTCACACCACCATGGAAAAGGCTCAGTTTAGATGAAACCCCCAGGAAGAATACTCGTGCTAACTCGCTTTCAGTTTGGCCAGACTGAGGCCGTCTATCACCACGACGAGACTAAGCACGAGCTCGAAACGACCGTCCTGGCTAGCATCCCATTCGCCCAGTGGGATGACACTACTAAGAAGATATTCAAAGGGGCCTCGGATGATGGATGCCTTATCGTCACCAGTTCCACGATTTTCTATGCTAAAGGGGGCGGTCAACCAAGCGATACTGGCACCATGACCTCTCTCGACCAGACTTCAACCTTCACCGTCACCTCTGTCCAGAAGCTCCCGTCCGGAACAATCATGCATCTCGGGACATACTCCGGCAACCCCTTCCAGGAAAAGATGCTCGTGGCCCAGAAGATCAACAAGGACGCGCGAAAGCTACATTCGCAAATTCATGACGCCGGCCACATTCTCGCCTTAGCTGTCCGAAGACTGGGGATACCAGATTTGCGAGAGGTCAAAGCACAGCACTACCCCGACGTTGCATTTGTCGAGTTCCAAGGCATCATCGGGGGTGACAAGAAGGAGGAGATTGAGCGAATCGCCAATGAGATAGTCGGTCATGACCGCTCGATCGCCGTTCGTTGGTGGTCACCAGAGGAACTCAAGGCCAAGTCCTGGACAATGCCGGAGGATATTGGCGATGGGAATGACCTGATTAGAGCTGTGGAAATCGAGGGCGAAGGTGCCTACATGTGCGGGGGAACACACGTGAAGAGTACGGCGTTGGTAGGGAAGTTGAAGGTAAGAAAGATAAAGAGGCAGCAAGGAATAACAAAAATCTCTTATGAGATGGTGTAGATAGCTTTACGGTCAAGTTAGGAGTTCAAAGACACTAGATCATCTTGGTTACAAAACTACGTCGTCCCCATTGTGGCCAAACGTCTCTTCTGGAGACGTCGTTAATAACGATATCAAAGAATCTTGGCTATAATGGCAGAGAAAGTGCTTAATTAGTAAGATATCAAAAGTAGCTTAACTAGAAAAGAAGCCACAATAGCTCTTGCAGAGATTCTATTCTTTTAATACCAGTTATCCTGATTGTCTACTGGAGTCCTCAAGATGTTGGCTGCGGAAGAGAGATAACCACTCCTCGTTGTCAGCAACAGTGTTATCCAGTGGGTCCACGCTGCCAAATTGCAACCTTCTCGCCTCGTCCTGGAACATCTTATCCGTAAGGGTGACGCCAAGGCTCGCCTGGTGCTGCGCAAAACGACCTAGGTGGAAAGCCAGCAGTTCGGGGAACGACTTGTTGTGGAGGGATATCGCCGGTGCTCCCGACCCCCCCGGCGACGGCTCTGAGCCACTCCACGCTTCGAAACTTTGCTCGGCCGACTGATTTATCTGTTTTAGGTGCTCCGCATGCGCGAGGTTGGGGGTCGTTGCCGAGAATGGGGCGTATGTGTTTGCCTCGGACGCAATTAAATACGGCGGTATCGCGTTAGTGACCAAGGCTGCGATCTTGGGCTCCAAGTCATGGTCTCCCTTCCAGTCGTCCATCGTCTTACCCTTACGGAAATGCGATACTAGATGGTCTATACGCTCTTGCCATGTTTCCATACGGAGATCACAGAAGCCGCACCTCGATGTTATTGGTGGTCCCTCAACCTTCCACGAGTCTATCGACGGAGGATCCTTCACGTGGTGGATACACCTTAGGTGCTGAGCTAGATGATCCTTCCGCGCATAGATCTGGCCTGCCCTGCACAGATTAATGTCATGATCTTCAAGATGTGCCGGCGAGGGATCAACAAGTCCACAGTAGGCACAGCTGCTGCTCCCCGTGATGGCCGATATCTCGATGCTGCCAAATGGTGCGCATCGCCAACCCTCGATATTGAGATGCAAGGACCGCTCGTGACGGGCCCAGTCAAACTTGCTTTTGAACGAGTCGCAGCAGAATGTACAGGGGAACCTTCTCTTCTCTGCCGTCTTGCCCTTGGTAGTCGGCCGGGTGCGTTTCAACACGCGGGAGCGACGCGTCATCGAGCTGGCCGAAGCAGAGCCCGAGGACAAGCTTGAACCGCTAGCAAAGCTCACTGTCGAGCCCGCTCGAATGTCGGAACGGCGGGAATTGAGGCTGCTGGTGGATGCTTGACCCCGAAGCGGGGCATTCCTCAAAGCATCTGCGATGGCGGATAGCGAGGCCGGCTCGGTCTCTGGGGGCGAATTCCGCCAGCGCTGTATCGGGTTCATTTCGCCCTCCTCCACCGAGGCGCTGGGGCCTGGAGTGTCTATAGGCCTTGAAACCATTGGCAGGGCCGGAGTGCAGAAGTACCGGCTTCTTCGTCGCGGGAGGCTCTGTGGCTGAGTCTGGATGATGGGCGAATGCTGGAGTGCCCTGGCGGTGCCCTGGCTTAATTCCCACGTAGGTGATAATACCTCGCCTAGACCGGTTTGGTAGGGGTGCTGCCAGAGATCCTGAGCCGGACCATGCAGCGGCCAGGATGACAGCGATGCTTGCCAGGGCTGCCCGGTAGGCTGAATCATATTCCCTACCGAGGCTGATGTAGAAGAGCCGGTTGTCACATCGGCCAAGTCTTGTGGATGCCAAGACAGGAGGGTTTGATCCCGAGACTCGCCTCCATCTTGTTGAAGGCACGGAAAAGAGTCTTGGGTTGCTTGATTCATCGTGTCCAAGTCCCTGGCCAACCCGAGTTGGGTGTATTCCTCAGAGGGTGTCAAGGCTGCTGACTGTGGATTAGCGCTGCGTTGTTCAGTCGGTCAGACATGCCTACTGTCGCCTTCGCCATGGGCCTTAAATGGCGATAGTTTCATAGTCCTTGCTGGCTGGTTGGTCGGGGGCATCACGCTATCTGAGAGTCGGGGTGATGTTAAGTGCGGGCTGTTGTTAAAGTTTGGGTCAGGAAGCTGGAGGAATTTCGCTAGGCCTAATTACCCTATGATAGCTGTGTACTGATTGAAAGCTATCATCAGTAGTTGCATAATGGGGCATAACCAGAGTAAAGGCTACCGATTTACCCCTCGTTACCCATTTACAGGATATTTCTAAGCTTTATGTGCCACCCAGGCCCGAAAAATCCCAATTCCCAAGACGATGGCGATAATAACACTAGTCAGCGTAGCCTTCGTAATATAGCGAGGGCCGCTCTTGCGCTAGAGCTATGTCTCGAGGATACCGCGGGGGCTAGGTCGAAAGCCAGACCGCAAAGGCCGAGGCGGATGTCTTCGACAAGTAACGGATCAGGGAGGAACTAGTCAGGATATCTCATCATCAATGATAACTTGACGTCGCGACCCGAACCTTCGCGTTTTTCCCGATAAGTAAAAGTACCGAAATCATAACAGTTCCGCAAAGAGAAAGTTAACGGTAGGGGTGTGCTAAGCTCTTTGTTGAGCAGTCGGGGATGCTGCCGATAAAGGAGAGATATTTGTCTCTACCTTGAAAAGATTGCAAATGAGTCTGCATTGGTAAGAGATGCTGTACTGCAGTAACGAGAAAATCACGAACCTTTTCCACTCGTCGACAAGCATACCAATCCAAGGGCCATAATCACCGGGGAATTCCCTCTGGAGGATAGTCTGTGCCTGGGACTGGTTGAAGAAGCCAACAATTCGCATCGTCTCGATCAATCGACCACATAAGTGGTTGGCTCGTGTTGCTGTTCTCTCTGGCTTTATCGCAGTATCAGCTATATAGGAGCTTTGGATGACTGGGCTTCCGAAAAATCCTATGCATCGTTTCCACTAGGCCCAACTGTAAAAGGGAAGGTCAGTCTGCACCAATATAGCTGTGGGAGTACAGCAAGCTATATATGGAAAGATACGTACTTGCATGATCACTCATTCTCTCTTCTGATATGATGTAGAATGGTAAAATGGCCAGGGGGTAGTGAAGTCACTGAAGTGGGTAGTTAACCTGGGCTGAATCGGAGTTAAGGAATGTCCCGTGGAGATATGCTGCAAGCCGAGACGATAAAGTGGGTTTGGCGTGCCACTAGCCTATTATGGGATCGGGGGCTTATTAACCAAAGACTTGCATCGGCGTTTATGTGGGCTAAGTTTCAGACCTTGGTCATAGGGTAACCTCCCCTTGGAGGGAGTTTTTGCCTAAGAACTTGATTTGAACGGATATATAAGTCTCTAGGCCGCCGATTATGGCTTCTCTATCATCTTCTGTTACTCAAAGCACCTTCAAACTCTTCATTGATACGACAATATGGCAACCATGAAGGCTTTAGTTGTAACGCCGAGAGACAAACTAGTAACCGTCCAAGACGTACCAATCCCTGCGCCTAGTCCATCAGAGATCCTCATCCAAGTCGGCGCTGTTGCCTTGAACCGTGTTGACTAGCTATACACGGCAAACCCTGTCGCTACCCAGGATCGCCGTATAATCGGAAGCGACTTTACGGGTGTTATCACGAAAGTTAGCACAGATGTCGAGAAGCTAGATGATCCTCGTACTCAAGTCGGCACGCGCGTTGCGAGCTTTGTCCAAGGCGGTAGGGTCTCACCACACGACGGCAAATGAGTTTTATCTGTCTGCTGACGCATTCTTTTACATTCAGCCTGTTCGGTCAACGAGCGTGCGGGTGCATTTGCGCAATATGTTTGCGTTGAGTGGGACCTCGCGTGGCATGTTCCTGACGACATGCCGCTCGAAGAAGCCGCCAGTATCAGCATGTGCGGCCTCACTGCGGCCCAAGGGCTTTTCAGCAGACTTAAAATCCCGTGCCCCTTTTCTAAGACAGAAGGCTTCGACCGGCTCAACCTCAGGTCTGGAGAAGAAGTGAATTTTCTCATTTACGGAGCGACTGCATCTCTAGGCCTTTTTGCGGCACAACTTGTCCGATTGAGCGAACAAGTCTCAGGCACAAAGATTCGTCTAATTGGGCTAGCTAGCGCATCAAATCACGATTTGTTGCGAGAAGAGCCCTACAAATTCGATGTTCTTATTGACTACCACGATGCCGATTGGCCCGAACAAGTTCGAAAATTGACAGAATCATCTGGCGGTGTTCATTACGCCGTCGATACCATCTCTATTTCGCCATCTGTTGAACAAGTCGAATCGACTCTAGCCCCTGACGGCCGTTTTGCAGTATATCGAAGTCCGGCCCTCGGGAAGTTTGACATCAACAAGCTGCACCACAAGCCTATGATTGGCGCAGTGTGGGAGGGTCTAGGCGTGGAGATTGGTTATCAAGGTACGCAAGCTATTTGGGTAAACGTACACGAGTTCACTTTGATGGCTGATCGATTATCACAGGTGCTAGCATTCCAGCAAACCCAGAGGCACGTAGATTTGCTGCCGAGTTTTTTGCGTTTCTTGGTTCGGAAGGCTCGCAAAGAAAGGCGAAGTTGGCAGGCAACCCAATCCGCCAGATGCCTGGTGGCCTCGAGAAGATTGCTGAAGGTCTCGCGCTCGTATCTCCAAACAAGATGCCTGAGGTTCGTCCGATTAGTGCGGAAAAGGCTGTCTACACCATTGTGTAATGTGATAGTTAAGAGTCTAAGAATGCTTCCAATTGTGCCTAAACAGTGATAATCTATCTATTGATGAGACCGAGTTTGTCTTCTGACTCCTTCGTAGCTCTTGCACAAGTGACGTCCATCCGTAGCCGCTTTGATGTCTGCGATGTGTAGGCTTACATCTATTGATATCTAAAACCGACAAAATGGAAATCGACCATAGAGAGCAGCCAAGAGTCTTCAGAAGCCCTGTTGGTGCTTCTAGGGAGGCAATGATAGGTCCGTTAAGTCCGAGCCTAAGACTGGCCACGGACCTCTTTAAAAAGGACAATTGCCGAGCTGCGTGCGGGCCAAGGAAGTGCCGAAAATGTGACCGAGCTTTTTCGGCTTGCAGCTACTTACAAATCAACCTCAAAAGCATCGTAGTATATGTGGGCGGACTTATTAAAGGTGGGCTATATAGCTAGCACATCTAGAAAACCACTGTGGCGTCGACTTGAAGCATTGATCGATTTCGTTACCCTCTATCACTCTTCCTGCAACATGGCACGTATCTTCATCACTGGGTCTGCTGATGGCTTCGGCCTGGAAGCTGCTCGTCAACTCGTTCAACGCAAACACACCGTCTACCTCCACGCGCGCAACGCCAAGCGTGCAGCCGATGCTAAGGCGAACTGCCCTGGAGCTGCAGGCATATTTATCGCCGACTTGTCACTTGTGTCGGAGACAAAGAAACTCGCCGACGAAGTCAACGCTGCCGGACCATTTGATGCTATTATCCACAATGCTGGCATGCTCTACGGACCGTTTCGAAAAACGCCTGATACAGGAATTCCGGCCATGGTGGCTGTGAATGTCCTTGCACCTTACATTTTGACTTCCCTCATAACCCCTCCGAAGCGGCTCGTCTTTATTTCGTCTCAGTTGCACAGCCAGGCCGATACTAAGATCGAAGACATCTTCTGGCTGAAGCGAGGAGAAGCTCAGTTCCAGGACTATCCTGTTTACTGCGACACAAAGCTACATGTGATGCTGCTAGCCAATGCGGTAGCAAGGCGGCTTGCAGATACGTCGGTTACTTCTGTTCACCCTGGCTGGGTGGCTACAAAGATTGGCGGTGAGGGCGCCCCAGATAAGCTGGATGATGGTGTGCAGACATATGTTATGCTGGCTGAAGGAGACTATGATCAAAGCTTGACTGGGAAGTACTTTGAGCCGAAGAGGCGGCTGGGTGAGCCGCTTCCGGAGTGTGATGATGTCGATCTGCAAGAAAAGGTGGTCAAGGCTTGCGAGAAGCTTGCAGGATTGAAACTCCCTGCGTAGTCAGGCCCAGAACATGCAGCTTAAGAGTAAGTGTGCTCTGATGAAGAAGAATCGACACGCGTGTGCCTTGAAAGATGTGTATGCAACATTGATAGTGTCAAAAATGACCAGTTTTTACCATGCAAAAATGGACCACCCAGGTGGAAGGGGGGTAGTCCCTACTTACCTCACCGAACAATAGGAGGGAAGTTGTAGATTGGTGAAGAGCACTGCTCGCCAGCTTCACATATTGGATCCTCAAGCTTACTGTGTCAGTCACCCGATGCTCAAGCCCAGGCTGTGGTAATGCAAGTTCATGTTTACCAGTGCAAATAAGTCGCCGTGGAATGATCCATCAGACAACGTAATCCACGTATGTATAAAAGTCTGTAGAGATTGGCTTCAAGATCAATCATCTATATGAATCATAAGCTGTTTTCGTCACATTGTACTGCCTAATATCGTACAGGACAGTCCCTGAGTCGTGGTAGTGTCAGCTAACCCTGAAAACCGAATTGGTGGGTCTCTGGTGAAGCCAGGTCTTCGGCGTTATGGTGGGCGAGGGAGACAAGACCAGTTTGTAAGCGTATCACAGATATTTAAGAGCTCTTGTGAATGAAATTTCTCAAATGGTGGACAAGAACTAAAAAAACCAATTCTCTTTCTTGGATATCGAATCTTATCTATACTGCTTTCATTGCTCACTCATCACCATGGCATCCCTCTATGCAAAGGATCAACCTGAAGGCTTTGTCAATTCCATCAAGCATGTGGCTATTGTTGGCGTACGTACTCCTATACTAGACCCTCAACGCTCTGACGAGATGCTAACTTTCCTCAAGGCCACAGGACAGATAGGCAAAGTTTTCACCGAGCATCTCCTCAAATCGCCTGGCAACCAGACGGTGACCGCCCTAACCCGTAAGGGCAGCAACACTACCGTGCCGGATGGAGTGAAACTTGCACGCGTCGACTATGATGACGAAGCTACGCTGATAGAAGCCTTGAAAGGCCAAGACTTCTTGGTCATCACCATGGCCCTTACTGCACCTCTAGACACCCATAGCAAAATCGTCAGGGCAGCTGGAAAGGCAGGAGTTCCTTACATCGTGCCCAACGCCTATGGTGTAAACTTCTATGACAACCCAAAGCTTCAAGAAGACATTGAAGCACTGAAGTACATCTACGCCAGCGTCAAAGAAGTTGAACAGGTTGGCTCCCAGTGGCTCGCCATCACACCCAACTTTTGGTACGAATACAGCCTCGGCGTTGGACCATTCACCTACGGCTTCGATTTCCTGAATAAATCTGTCACATTCTACGATGATGGAAAGACTCGAGTCAACACGACCACTTGGCCCCAGACTGGGCGTGAATTGGTCTCACTGGTCAACCTGAAGAAGCTCCCAGAGGATGAAAACGATAAGTCCGCCACCCTGGCCCAATTTTCCAACAAACCCGTCTACATCAAGAGTTTCACTCTCAACCAGCGGGAGTTGCTCGATAGCGTCAACGAGCTACTGGGACAGACTGACAAGGACTGGACTATCACCTATCAGCCTGCAAATGAGCGTTTCCAGCAGGGATTAGAGGAACTTTCCAAGGGAGTGGGAACTGGTTTCTTGAAGGCCCTGTACGCTCGCTCATCCTACCCCAATGGTGAAGGTCTGTTTGAAACCCATAACAACCTTCTAGGTTTGCCTAAGGAGAGTCTACATGAAGCTACACTGGCTTCGCATAACTGGGCCGCTGCACAAGCCAAGAAGGCTGAGAAATAAGGTGTTTAAGGTCTAGATCCTACTAGTACTCTTGAATATATTCGGACGTCACATTCTGGCATGGATTTTAATACTGTCATGTATCAACGACTGTAGTCTTTGCTGTTGTGGTTTGACGGTCTCTCGCGGACTTGTCATTGCAGATAATAATATGCCACATTCTCTTAAACGGGCCTTATTGCAGTGGGCTCGGATGTTTCTATGTATTGATTACCATATTATTCGTTGTTGTGGCTCATGGCCTCTCCTCTAGCCGTCCTTCATAGATCCTATTGTGGCCACTGATTCGCAGACTTAGTCCTGCCATTGAAACCGGCTTTGTTGCAGCATCTCTATCACACCCGTCGGTAGCAACCCCTTCTCGAGAATAGCCAAGCCCCCGAACCGCGCAACCGTCTCTTTCGAGTGTTGCAGGCAAACCCACTGATCGTAAGGGGCCATATCGTCCCAATCCTCAGGCAGCAGCCCCGAGAGGACCTTCGGAGGCTCGAGCGGTTTCGGCAGGGGCTCCTCACTGATATCTTGGAACGCGGTTCTCAACTTTGCCGACGTTCTTTCTCGGTGCTGTGTGTACTCCTCGAAACTGAAGAAGGCGTTATCGCCATCTACGTCCATAAAATAGGGGTATGGTTGCTCGTTGTAACCTAAGTCGTCGCACTGCTCATCCGACGACTCAAACGCCCTTTTCGCCACGTCGTAGTCTAGTTTCTCCTCCTCAAGGAACTTATCCATCTTCGCGCCTGCATCCTCGGGCATTCCATCGCGGTAGACATACGGCGTCGCGAATGGGTTATGGAGACCCAGGCCGCCCAAAGCGACGGGCGTGTACAAGAAGCCGTCAGGCACGTCGGTGATACCGAACCGGTCGGCGAGAATCTCCTTTAGCCGGGCACCAACGCCGCCACGAAGTGAGGGGAAGAGTGCTTGCTGGATATGGCGGAACGTGCTGAGGATGGTGTCAACGTGGGCGCGGGAGTAGCACCTAGCAAATGATCCAAAGTTGGTCGTGAAGAAACGACAGCCGTAGGTGTTCCATGCACGGATCCAGTCTAGAGTGCTTTTGCACCCGTCTAGTTGAATGCGGAGCTCGTCGATATGCTCCTCGACCTTGGTTTGGTCGATGACGAACCTGCCAGCAGTCGTATCAAGCTTCAAGAAGCCCCAAGCGACATCACCCGAGGGGAGACTTATGGCCTCGTCAATCTGATCGCGACAGCCGCTTGGATGGATAGTGGTGCTGCCTGTCTTTTCCTCGTTCAGCTCAAGACCAAACAGATCAGTAAACTCGTTTATGACCCGCCAGGCCTCGGCACACGTCTCAGCCGAGTTCCAGAGCCACATGTCGTCGTGAAGACGGTATAGACGAGCACCATCGGCCCTCCGGTTGACATCAAAGTCAAGACAGAACAGGACTGACTCGGAGAAGAAATCAGCCAGGGGTGTACTGAGCGGTATGCCCCTCTTCCGTGTTCGAGAAGGTGTGTCGGGGGAGTCGTCTTCAAATCGAAGTGGGCATTCAAGGACCTGGCGGAAGAAGTTGATCCAGTCGGGCTGAACGCCGAGGAACTCCAGAACAGCAAAGATGGACGCGTGAGGGAGGCTTGGGCCAAACCACTTGAAGTCGGAGCGTATGACGGTGATCTCGTGGCCAAGCTTGTTTTGAACAATGATATGAGTTTGTAGCGTTTGAAGGAGCTTCTGAACTACTGCGATGGGAGACTTGCGGTTATCGTCTACGCTGGCCTTGTCATCGCCGTAACTGCCTCGCTGCTCTTCTACTTCGCGAGGCAGCTGATCTATAAAGATTTCATGATCGAAATGCTCGTTGAGTAGGTTCGAGAGACTGTAGGTGGCAGTTTTGCCCTCTGTCGATCCAAGGAAGTGTTGTCGACGGCGAGCTTCTTCCTTGCTTAGAGCAGGAAAAGCAGGTTTCATCACCTGACGCTGCTTACAGAAGGTCTCGGCTGCCTGGCGCAACATAACGCACCATCTCCTGCCGATATAGTAGAGAAACAGTGACTGAAGAAGATCCTCGTCAGGGAAGAAGCGATAGCGGCCGTTGAGATGGCGGCGTGGCTCGACGATGCAATCGTTATCCCATTCCCATGTGGCCCGTGTCCGCATGCGCATGTTGAGCACGTCTGCGATCTCCCGAAGAACCACTTTGTTTCCTAGGAAGTCGTTGAGAGTCATGCGCTTCTCATCGTTCAACAGATTGGTCCTTAGGAGTCCCTGGATGCAATGTTGCAGGGAATCCTCGTCAAAATGGGTTTCGAGGTCCCAAGTCTTTTGGAAAGACTTGATTGATTCCACGAAGTCATTGTAGGCTTTCTTGACGTGGCTGGATGCTTCAGATTGAAAGAGGTTACCAAGATAAGTCTTGATGGCGTCCTCATCCACCTCCTTGGCGCAAAAGACGTACTGCTCCCAAACAGCGCGCTGCTCTTGACTCTCGGTACGCGGGACATGGAGATGGCTAGAGTCAGACTCACTGGTCGAGATCCATTCGTCGATCAGCTTGGCGTATAGCTCGGCGAAGCGGTGCTTTTCCGAGCAGGTGTCCAGCTCGTTACGCAAGTCATGCTCGTAGCTTTCTATAGCTTCCTGGGAAACGGAGGGATCATTTTCTGCCTGGAGGAGGAATCGCTGGAGAGTCTCGACCGTGGGCTGCGACAACGAAGAGGTAGCGGACAGCTTGGTGGCACCGTCAACAAGAATCTTGGCCCTTTTAGGGCTGGGCTCATCGTCTGCATCTCGCAATAGGGAGGTTTTCGCGGACTCGTAGGCAACCTTTTGCCGGGCCAACTGGTTGAACTTGGTGCGGGTTATGGAGCGGAGAGTCTGAGAGAAAACCTGGGATGGGGCCATGTTGACGGAGAATGCGTGTGCAAGTACAGAAGGGTTCGGGGTTTGAACTGATGCTTCTATAGATGCACGATGTGAAGAAGTTTGGGGCTAAACAAGGTTGAATGAAAGGACGAGATAAAGGGAACTTTTATAAACAGAAGATGAAGCCTGAGGCTGAGAAGGAGGGCGTGCTTAGCATGCAATGTGTAAGATCCAGTCGCATTTTCGTATTCATACGATTTCCTGATTGGCCACGCCGTAGTTACTTGTCCAAGAAAACGACACCCAACACAAGCTTATTGGCGGAAATTTATCAGTCAGCGACCTCTTGAGCCCGCTGCCTAGTATCCAATAACCAAAGGCAGGGCGCTATGCCATAAAATCAGGCCAGGGGAGGTCCCGGTATGACTCATGTCTCTATCCGTGCTCCCGTCAGGGGTCCCGGGTCCAGCCCTATGGGTCAATGTCTGCCAAACAGTGTAAGAAAAATATCCGCCGGCACTTTTCAACTGTACGCCTCCCCTAGCACAGCAAGTCTCACTGCGGGGCTCATTAAAAGGAAAATTTCTCTAGCAGCAGCCATATCTGAAACCACTTTGTCTCCAACCCAATATTGGCTCCCCGTGATCAAGATTTGTTGCCAACATGGTATCGAGGCGAATAGTCAAACTATTAGAGCAAGTTAAGGCGTTTTCACAATAGCTTAGTCAATGAGAAAGAACGATATCAGCTGGACAAGACTAAAAGGTGGTTATATTACAATAATAAGAACGCCTAGGTCAAGTTTCCACCAAAATCATCTTTCAGATGGCACTATCAGTTTCTCTGCCTTCGAATAGCCGGTCTCCTTTGGACTCTTCATCCCGTTATCTACGTCCGGATACTTAGGAACTCAGTACCAGCAAAGTAGACGTACTCAAGACCAAGGGGGAATGAATAGAGGGAGGGCATCAGATCCTAGGGGATAGGCTCTACCAGTACGACACATCTGGAAGGCCAAGCGGGCAGCGGCCCACCTACGGCCAAGGTGAGGGTTTAGGAAGCCTTCATATCCTCCTGTCCATACGGGCACCTTCATAAGAGACCTTCCCATTTCGTAATTAAACGTCTTAACCAAATTAATAATATCGATGACAGTGCAGACCTCGCTCTCACCAGTATCGCCCTATAGCGGTATCTGAATGAAGTTCAGCTGGGTGCTCGTGGGGAGACCGTTTGCAAGCCACCAGCGCACATATACGCCTGAGGGGACCCCAGCGTTGATCTCAGCCATATTGGAGAGGGCGTCGAGAGCAGTATCAAGGTACGGCTAGAAGGCACCCGGTGCTCCCTTGTCCTAACTGCCGGCATTAAGGACGTAGGTGACATAGTCTTCGAGCACCTGCTTATCCCTTGGCGCACCGTTTATAAGTCTTGAGGGGTTCCAGTCGATCTTTTTGGTCAGGCCAGCGCTCCGCAATCGGCCGGCCAGAATCTTTGCGCTAGGCCTTCCGGTTACATCGAGGGCGACGCTTCCATCATAACCCCCCTTACTATTATTGGTAGCGTCTAGGAATAAGTTGAAGTTACAGCGAGTTGATCCGTAACAGTCAGGGCCGCCAATGGTGCTCATGCCGTCGCGGGTACCCCATTCATGGAGGTACCCAAAGTAAAAGAAGACGGCGACGTAGGCGGAAATATCGTCTTCGAAATCAGCGACGACCCGTGTTGCGAGGACACCTATAAGGAGGAAACAGAGAAGACTCATATTGACGATCAAGAGTTGTAATGATAACAGAGATGGACAGATGGAGGTTAAGAGGGAAGAGGGGGAAGATTTGCCTTAAGGCGGCCCTAACGGAGAGAGGGAGAAGAATAACAAGGGCAAGAAAGCAAGATGATAACGGAGGCAAATACGGGAAGACAGAGTTATTAGAAATTCCCCTGAAGATACTAGATTGCTTAGATTATTCCTACTATCGCAGCGAAGAAACTAGACACCTGCCTAAATTAGCCACCAGTACTAGCGATGCAAGGATGTGTAATAGATTCAGGGGCAGTTTTCCTAAAAGACATCCTCTACAACAAAGTAATTATCTCGCCAACACTAGAGGATTAACCGAAGTCCCTTTAGTAAATTGCTCTACCCGAGCTTGGCAACCCATCGAGTAAGCTTGTGCCTAGATTTTGGTAACATTAGCGCGTAATGCCAAGTTTCGCCGAGCGCTAACAGCGCCGGCACCAATGCTATCTGGTCACGTCCATTGGACGTTTATATTGTAAGTCTCAGGTGTCCCTGCTGATGGCACATAACCAACCTTGACGTATTTCCTTGTGGTCAGCGTTGTGCTCGGGTCGGCGCTCAGCAACGGCGCAGTCCTATCATATTGCCATATACCCCCAAGGACGCTTTTATAAGCTCCACATGCAGTAAGTCTCGTTGTCTATCATGAGAGTTCAAATTGCTAGCATTTTAACGTGACTATAGCTTATTCATACGAGACGGCGAGGTATCTTCGTCTAGAAAACAACGAAGCGTCCCCAAGTCGCTTGCAAAGATACTTAAAGATCACTCATTTATACATGCCAGCTCTACATATCTAACTTTGCCTTGCAGGCTTTATTTCTTAGTGCCTTTCTCTTTCATTTTATTAAACAACGTATTGTTTCATTCAACTTCTCTGTTCTACACACGTCGTCAGGTCGGGAACAAGATGAAGCCGCCCCAGTTACTCTCCTCCATTTTATTCTGGACCTTGCTGGTAACGCTTGGCTCCGCGCACCATCATCACTTTGGCTCTCGCCACCATCACCTACACGTGAACTCGACACGCTGGAATGAGTCCAGCAGTGATCTGCTCGGCCCCGGTCACTTTGGTCGACGGCAGGCAAGGCATGAGCTCAGAATCATGCCTCTCGGGGCTTCTACCGTCTTTGGCGTGGGCTCGAGCGATGGTAATGGGTATGATAAACTCTGTTCCATGCATAGATGCGACGGTAAACTGACATTTTGAGCGCCCAGATTTCGAAAGCTCGTGAGAGACCAGGCACGCTTTGCTGGATACGAGGTCAACATGGTGGGCACTAAGAACGGAGGCACCATGAAGGATAATGTAAGGCATTGTTAACTAGGACTTATCTGACAATTCGACTAACTCAACGAGTAGGACTGTGAGGCTACATCTGGCCACATCGTCACCGAGGCGCACGACGCATCGAGGCTGTCGTACAAGTTTAAACCAAACGTGGTGATTATGAATATTGGCACGAATAACTGCATTCACGGCATCGACAATGCAAACCAGCACAATAGGCTGCGCGTCATGATCGAAGGCATGTGGCGCAACATCTCTCCCGATACAGTGATGATTGTATCAACGCTACTCCCACTCGAAGGACAGGGTGGCGTTAATCGCAACGATGTGAACAACTTATACCGGCGCATGGTTGCGGACCTCGCGGCGCAGGGGAGGCCCATCTACATCGCCGACATGGACCACATCCCCATGTCTGACGTGCCCGACAAGGTGCACCCGCACGATGGGGGGTTCGGCAAGATGGCCGCCGCCTTCTGGGCTGGTATCCAGGCCGCTGAGAGGGACGGCAATATCAAACCTCCGCTCCCGATGGATGGGAACGCCGAGGGCGACACAGGCACTTGCAAGAAGCCGGCCGGAAACGGCGTCTGGGCCGGGGGTCTGACGCAAAGAGGCAGTGGCGAGCATGACGGTATCTACCGGCACCGCAGCCAGCCAGAGGGTGTCGTGTTAACCATCACGAGCGACTTTGACCGCAACCAGTGGCGATTCGCACGTCTTTTTCGGTCGGACCGCGATGACCTGGTAGGTTGGTTTGACCTGCCCAGCGGAGAGGCGCGGGACGGCGTTTGGAGGAACGACGGGGGTGGCAAGTTCACCAAGATCAACGACCTAAGTGTACAAGACAACTGCCTCCCGCGCGGCATCGTCTTCATTGATCTCAACGGTGACGGGCATGACTATTTTGCCTGCATCGGGCGCGATGGTGCCGTTTTTGCCAGTATCAACCGTGGCAACGGGGGAGGGGCGGTGCCGCCCACCTTTAGGCATATCAGCCTCTGGAAGGCTGCGCAACCAGGATACCCGCAAGCTCAGGTTCGGCTCGCTGATATTGACGGTGACGGTCGTGCTGACTTCTGTGGCCTTTCCCTCAATGGCGATATCTCATGCTGGCGCAACGGCGGGATTCATGACAAGCCAGCTTACTTCCAGGCCCTGGGCCGAAGATTTACGGGCAAGGGCATGGGAGATCTTGCTGGCGTTCGTTTCGAGGACCTCAATGGCGATGATCGAGACGACTGGCTCTGGGTTGATGGTAATGGATAGACGACAACGTGGACCAACGCTCGCAGCTGCATGAAGGGTGTTGAAGGCGACGGCCTCAATGTTGCGTGGCGACAAGGCTTCAATGGCAACGCCAACAGCGGACCGACTCATCCAGGAGGTTTCGGCGGCTCAGAGAACATCAGGAACCGCATTCACTTTGCGCGTATCTTTGGAGTGCCTCAAGACTTTGGGCTGCTCGGTCGGCTCGACTACGTCTATATGGAGCACGCAAAGGAGGGCAACAAGCACAAGTTCAGCGTCCGCGTGTATAGGAACCTCGGTTCAGGTGGTACCAAGCTAGTCGCTGATGGCAACAAGTATTGCGACATGACGGGCAACGGACGCGACGACTACGTGTGGACACACTCCAAGGGCATCATGACCATGTTTCCCAACGGCGGCAAAAACTTCCTCACAGGGAGCGAGAGCTACTGGGGCCCGAGTGCACGTATCTTTGATGCCAAGCAGGTAGCTGGACGCGAACTTGACCGACGTGACCTCCATCTAGCTGATTGGGTTGGTGATGGCAAGTGCGATATCATCTGGGTCGATGCAGCCAACGAGAACCGCGTGACCGTCTTCCGCAATCTCGACGGTGGCGCCGGAGGCAACTGGCGTTGGCAGAATCTGGGAAACGCAGCGCCAGCGCTCCGATACCCCGAGAAGCGCGGTATTGGTCTGCATGATCTTGCCGTCCGGTTCGCCGACATTAGTGGCAGCGGACGGCCTGATTACCTCTGTATCGAGAAGGACGGGCGCGTTTGGGGCTGGACTCAGTCGTCTAATGGCGCCTGGACCCATGTGCCGCAGTTTAAGAGCGCCAAGGGCCATGACCGCGCCAACCTTCGGTTTCATGACGTTGACGGCGACGGCAGAGCAGATACTATCTAGGCTGAGAAGTTCAGCGGCGACGGATTCGTCTATTACAACCTCGGCCGGCATGATATTGGCGGCTCACAATACTGGTGGGAGCAGAAGCCAGGGGGGGGGGGGGGGGGGGCCGTTCCATGCCTGCGCTGGCAGCCAGGCTGGGACCTGCATGTACTACCCGGACCTGGACGGCAACGGACGAGCAGACATGCATGGTATCAAGGGCACGTGGACCAACGAAGCCGAGACATGGTACAATATGTGCTCGGGTGATGCAAAGGGTGATGATCCCGGCGGCATCTCTAATCCCAACCTTCCTCCTCAGCCGCTACCACCCAACCCTGGCACCGGGACCGAGCAACCCCGAGATCCGGGATTTATGGGGTACCCTCCCGGCATGCCGTGATACGTCCCCGCACGACACCCTGGAGAAGCTGGAGAACGATGGTAGTATCCCCGCGTACTGCTTACCCCTATACGCACTCGAGGTGCTGAGGCGCATGGCGGCGCGGTCGCTGGACCACTACGAGCGTCTCATGAACAGCAACTACGACAGGGCGTTTGGGCACTTCCGACGGGCCGTACATGCTTCCGCCGACACCAACCTTGAGGAATGGATCCTACCGCGAGCATCTTCATACTTCGAGTGCACCACCAGCAGCATTCGGATGTGCTGTTGGCAGTGTACCACGAGTTCTTGTCGGGAGAACTGCATTCCTGATGGATCCACTCTCGCCTGCGGTTCACGAGAGACCAAGCCGTCTGAATGCCCTCCCCAGCGAACTGTGGACGTGTTGACGACGGGCAACGTGACTTTTCCCTACGCGAGGATCGACGCGAAGCCTTTTACCGGGACGTATTCGAAGGTACTGGGCTCGCCGAAGAGCATATCCGTTTCGGTAGATACATTACAAGGCACACTTGCCCGGCCAGACGCATGAGAAATGCGGTCAGACCATCTCAAACTGTCAGCGGAACTACTACCTCGACTTCCCGGTTGTCAACTACGACCGGTTCCGCATCGACACCATCCCGAACCCCAAAGACGTTGTTGAGCCCGCCGTTGGCAAGGCGGATTCCGATCTGCCTGCCACCCTCTGGGGATATGAATGGGGCTTCAAGCTCGGCTTGATCCAGGAGGATATTTCCGAGGTAATCGACGCCCTTACAATCCCCGTCATCATGGTTGGGGAGTCGGTCGACGCTATGCGGAGGCCTATGACATTGGCGAGGAGGTCCGGGAGGAGGAAACGAAGAATCTTATCTTGCTCGTCGTGGAGACGGTCCTCTTCATTGTGCCTTTCCTCGGAAAGCTGGCTGGTATCATCGGCGCGACTGCTACCTTTGTCCGCGCTGCGGCTAACCTTGTCGGCGACCTCGGTCTCATCTCTGTAGATATTTACAAGATCACCCAGGCGACCAGCGATGAGGACAGAGTTGCCCTCGCCATTGGCATCGGTATCACCGGCATGGGCGCCCTGACCAACATCCCCAGCATGTGTGCTGCGGGCCAGCTGCGCAAGGCTACCAGGGCGGACACCATTCGGAGGATTACCCAGAACCAGGATGCTATTAGGTCTCGCGCTTTGATGCAGAAGGCCCAAGGCACCTGCCCACGTTATGCCTAAGTGGTTTGGGTAAATGAACAAGTTGAGAGGGATTTGTAGAAGACAGTTCAACTAGACCTGAGGCCAACAGCTTGCGACGGATAGTATCTCGTGGTATTTTGGTACTCATAAAATCTCATGATTGGACACATCGATGACTTGTGTTTCAATATATCCATGGTTTCATCTAGTTAGGGCGAGTTCTGGTAGGTCCCATGCCTTCAACCGAAGTACAGGTGCTGCCCCTTGGTAGTCACGGCCGTTTTTTTAACAATTTATCCTCTTTGTGGTCTCGACTTCTCTAAAGGAGACCGTCCGCTATGAGAACAAAAGCTCTTTCGACAAACGCATGGTATAATGAGAATTCAATGCCGTAAAAGACCGTAGGGTAGGTAATTTAGAGGATAAAGCTCTGGAAGTGTGGCAACCTAGAGGCATCTTCATCTTAATTGTCTCTAGCGCATCTCACTTTTAAGGACACTCTTGAGTTGGGTCGAAAATGGCATTAAAACCCTAGAGAGAACAGGTGAAGGGCGGAAGGAGATCCCTTGATTGCCCCGGAGACCCGCACTGGTGGAATCGCTAGTCACCTCCAGTAGGATCAAAGCGCGTTAATGACGCGGCTCCAGGATGGGAGACGCAAGACTGTTTGTAATGGTTTACGAATGGAATACAAAATTAGGTCGGTAAACGTCGCGGATCGTAAGGCCCTAGAATGGCTTGTCTCGGAATGTGGGATGAGGTGAGGCTGTGCCCGAGGTCTTTAGTGGGGATAAATGAGGATATCCCAGTCCAGCATTGACACCGAAAAAAAGACGATGACGAATAACCTCAACTCCCTTGTTAAAGCTTATCTTGTTCCTATGACTAAGCGGCTTGCACGTCGGATTCGTACAGCAAAGACGACCAACACAGCCCTACAGAATCAGGCCGTTCTTATTATAGCAGTCGACTGGCAAAGCAGTGATCTAGTACCATTTCTAGTGATGTACGAATTAAGAGACATCATAGATAGCCTTTAGGTGCTTGGGGGTTGATATATTCATAGATGCTGCCCAGATGGGGCAGTGCCTGGCGTAGATATCGCACATCAACACCTCCAAATCTTGGGTCAGAACGGCCAATCTTTTAACACGGATACTTCTCTTGGCTCATCTCTTTAACGCATCACATCATTAACATGCGCTTTGTTTCAATGCTGGCCTTGTTGGCTACAGCATCTCCTCGTGTTGACGCTCGTCAGAACCGAGTTGCGAGATATGACTCTGACCTTGCTCATCTACTGGATTGCCGATACCCAGAAATTCTGTACGAGTGCTTGGCGTCCCGTGACCGCAGTGTTGGGCAACCTGCTGAAAATGCTTGCTACGTTGCCGCAAGCTGCGCCCCATTGAAACGCGCGGAGCAGACTTCGGATGGAAAGCTATGGGAAGACGAGGAAAGTGGGGAGGGCTTGCATCAAAGGCAACGACGCCAGCAGACGGAAAGCCAGGACTCGGCAAGCCAGGAACCAGAAACCACCGATAACGCGTCCGCTTTCTCTGCTGATCCGGTTGCAACAACCGAGGAGCTAGCCTCAAGCTCAGCAGAACCGGAATCCACGACGATTCAGGAGTCTACTGCAGCATCAACATCCACAGAAGCGACGGTGCTCTCGTCGACGGAGCCAAGCAGCCAACCATCAAGCACGTTGCCATCGAGCACACTTTCATCAAGCACAAGCAGCACCGAAACTGAGACTACCACTTCAGTTGGCGCCTCTTGTTATTCCACAACTATCGAGTCCACTACAGTATGTCCGGTAGAGTCTTCTGACGGGCAGGAATCAACTCTTGAATGTTATTCCACAAACATTACAAAGAGTGCCTGCTCTCCTGGTCTTCTGTGCGCAACCGAAGATACTCACGGATACACCATTTGCATGGAGATGCAGAATGAGATCGGGCTTGCTGGAAAGATCATTGGAAGTTGCTTTGGAGCGGCTATTGCTGTGTGTGTTGGGACACTGGGAGTGCTTATCTATCAGGATAAACGCAAGCAGCGAGAGATTGCGGAACTTATGGAGGCGAGGATACGACGGAAGGAGAGGCGCTGAAGTATGGGCATCTATAACCCGTTGAGATAAGGTTGAGATTGGTCCTTTGTACGGTTGTAAATGGACCTTTGGCCCTTTGCGCAGGGTGAGAGGGACATGTCGTTTTGTATTTATTTTTTCATTTCCATATTCTCTTATTAGCTTTACAACCTCTTAACGGCTATCGAAGCATGTACTATCTCACGCGTTTTACTGTTTTAGGCCTTATTTGGGAGGAAACTGGATCAGTGACCAAGTGCTCATCAAAGTCGGTATTCGGATGGTCTTTTGAACAACAAAAAGAAGAACAGGGAGGGAGGGGAAAACTCAGAACAAGCAGTAATAGCTATAAAATGCGAGTATTATGGAATTCTTTTTAATATCAAAGAACCGGCATTTTGCATCAGAAATCCCTGTTGGACTATGACTAGTTACGTAAAGGGGGACCACCCGACTTCAGCTGGGTCTGGCACCAGCCATATAATATACCATGTTTCATGATCAAAAGGAATATGCTGTAATTATTCTGCGCTTATTTCGGCCTTAACCTGTCTTTTCGGGCCCATTCCGGGTTCCCACATGCAAGCCAAGTCGCTTCTATGCCGGCATAATTCACTTTGGCCTATTGTTGAGCGAGATTCGCAGCCTGATTGGATTTTTTTCAGCTCTTATGAACAACCCTGCTTTGAATGTCCCAAACCTATCCTATCATCAGGTCCCTTGGCGACTGACAATTTGAAAGTGCATTCAGCTTTACGCCACAGCGGCTGTTTCTAACCATTTTGGCACAAAGTGTCACCCTGCAAAAACTGCCAAGTGCTAGGCGTTCCCCTGAGGTGCCCTTCAAATAGATGAGGTGGGTACTTGCGCAAGGTTGGAAGGGTTCCTCCTCTCCCCCGCGAGCAAACAAAAGATGTCACCGCAGACTGTCTGGAAGGCCCAAAGTTCAGAGTTCACGGAGCGGCGCACACTCATACCGCCCGTCCAGGTCATCACGGCCGACTCGCGCACTAACCTCGGGCCACTGACAACAACTTTCACACCGGAGCCTGACTGCAACGTTCTCTTCCAGCCCTGTGCCACCTGCGAGACTGCCTCTATAGGGCAGTCCTGTGTTGACAATGTTCCACATGACAACCCGGCGTGCTGGCCTCCCACCAGCTCTGGAGCACAAAGTCCTTCATCAACGATGAGAGGATGGGGTTTCTACTCGCCAGGACTCGTGTGTCCCGACGGCTACCTATCAGCATGCACTGCAACGTGGGACGGATTCAGCGACTGGCAGGTCCAGTTCCCGATGACTGCCGGAGAGACTGCCGTGGGGTGTTGCCCTCGCGGCTATGACTGCGACAATTTCAATGGCGGCACTTGTACCCTCATCCCGACCTCGACAGTCGTTCCGATTGTGACCTGCAGGGGCGATACTACCGGGCCTTCTGCACAGGAGACGATCCAAGAGAGGGGAACGCCCGGCTTCAAGTTCTATGCCCCGATGATTCAGATCAACTGGCAGGCTTCGGACAGGGCGTCTACTTTTGAGCTTACACAGAGTACCTCTGGGGCTACGACATCTGATTCGACACCTTCCTCCGAAGGCCCCTCCCAGCTTGGTTCTGGAGCGATAGCAGGTATCGTTGTTAGCTCTGTTGGTGGGATAGGCCTTCTTCTTATTGCCTTCTGGCTTTTGAGGCGGCACCGGCGAAAGAAGGCAACAGGATCTGGCGACCAGTTTCATGGCTCTGGGGGTGCTCAGAATAACAACACAGGCAGTGGCAAACAATTTTCTGCACCAATCAATGCGACGAATGTATATATTCAATGAGTTGAATTCACGTTCCTTGCCAGGATGCGCAAGCCACCACACGCATATAGCATCGTAAGGATAGTTCGAGCCATCGTCCTCACCCCTAAGAGCAATGTTTCTCTCTCTCTCTTCGATTGACCGTGGCCTCAGAGCGCCATATTAAAAATAATATTATTAATAGAAGTTAAACATTTCAAATTTATTAACTAGCTATGCCCATAATCAAAGACTCATGTGGAGGACGAATATGGCAATTGCTTTTCACCACCACTCTGAGCGTTGTCTAGCTTTGTTGCCCTTGATAATGTTTCCCCTCGTTAATTACTTTAAGTCGATTTCGGCAGTCATCCTTCTTTCTACTCTCATCATATCCCTCACCGCTCTCACGCCAAATTTCTTATGCGAGATGAGAGCCCAAAATCTGAAATGGATAGCAAATCAGGCCAAGATCGGCCACCGACCCTTGTCTCGACACACATCCATCCACGTCGCGAGGGGAGATTCTCCGTCCTTTCTTGCCCACACCTCCTCAATTATCTCTTTCGCAGTATCGTAGCTGCCAAATCTGGTTGCAAGTATCCTGGTGTCGATCCACGCCATGATCTGTTCCCGTTGAATTTTAGACTCGGCCTCTGATCCAGCAATGAGCGCAGGCCAAGCGGTGCCTGAAATCTCGAGCCCCTGCTGCTTGAGGGCTTGATCATAGTCCTGCAAGGCTATAATGACGTCGTCTATGATACTTTGCAGTATCATTGGGTTGACACGTCGAATGCGTTGGTAGAAGTATATGAGCAGGGCCGAACACAATGCTCGCAGCATGTGCAGGTGACTCGTGCTGTTGCTGGTTTTGAAAGCTAGGCATTTGGACCTGAAGGCGCACACAGACTCCTCGAGTTGGCTTGCGCGGCGCTGCAGGACCATGAATGTTTCTATATCGGCCTGGTTGTCGGGCTGATGTAGCATATCCATCTCGTTGGCCAATCTAGTTGTTTGTGACAGCAGGCGTAACCACGTCTCAGGGATCCCATATATTTGCATGTATAGGCCGTCCTCGTCTGTGCCGCTTCCTGAAAGGTGAAAATCCTGTTGTGTATCCTTGCCACGTGCCGGCGTACGGGATGGGAGACGGAAGAAGTCATCCAGCTTTGGATCGAGAGCGATGCCCCTTCTCCCATCTTGGATCATTGGATCTCCGTCATCCTCAGCGCCATTACGTTGGCCCTGGCGGTGGGCTGATGTTTCCTGCGTTCTGTATCGCATGGCAGATCCTCCGCGCATCCGAGTGCTTTCGGAAACGATCCGGACCCAAGCGTATAGGTGATGTAATAAACGCGTGCGGCGTGACACTGCTCCCTTGGCAAGGCCACGAGTGCGAAAGAGCTTCTCAAACTCTGCCAGATAGTGGTCGACATCAACCTGGTTATTCGAGATGAACTGTGTCTATTAGAACAGGTACGTTGTAGGGTCCAGGATTAATGATAAAATTTACCGAAGTCGTCGTGGTAGAACCCATTGCCATCAGTTGCTCCTTATACTTGGCCTTATCTGAACCATCCGTTTCCTTCTCTAAGGACAGATCCAGATGCTTTTTTGCAGCATCATATGCTCCCTCGTGCACAGCGGCCCAGTATCCTTCTGGTCGACAAAGATCTCCACTCTCTTGGTCTTTGAGAGACAGATGGTAAGCTGACACGGCAAGCAGCCCATAGAAATTGGACATTTTGGCGTGGCTTATCTTGCTTGCATCCACTGAAAAGAGGGTAAGCTTGCTGAGAGTGATCATGGCTGCCGGAATATGCATAGTCGACCAAGGGGACTTTTCGTATATAGGCAGAGATGACATTCGATGGACGACGACATTCTCGAAGTGTGTTAAAAGTCGAGGGGCATCTTCTAAGACATCTATCGGTAGTATCAGGTTGTATCGTGGGCCGGTCGGATGCTCGGTTGGTCTTGTTGACGCATAGGGGCTAGTTTCGGGACATCTAGGTATCATCAGGTTGCTGGGCTGTCCGTCCCACCGGGTCGAGTCAATATCGTTGGTGAGAAATGGGTCATCCAAGGATATGGAATTGGGGATGATGTCCCAGTTAAAGAGATCCCCCCATTGGAGGAAATCAGTGAAGGATCCAGCGCTGTCCTCAGGCGTTGGGAGTGCGAGTTCCTCGGTAAGCGTACTGGTCGTCGTGGCAATATTGGTCTGGGAAACAACGATTTGTGGACAGTCCTTGTCTTGTTGGGACGGAGGCGAGTGGCCGGAAGGGCTTGCGCATGTTTTCGGTGTCTGTAAGCTGAAATTAAGCACGGAGAAGGGGCCGACTCTAGATGCCTGGGTAGGGAGTCTGGAACTCTCTTCCAGGTCAACTAATGCGGCGTCGACTGTACTCGGGATCCCGGCTGCCAGCGCCTGGCACATGTCCACCCTGCTTTGAACTATTTTCGAATTGTCAGTGGCAACTCCTTCTCGAAAGAAGCGACATCAGGTTGAGGAGACAACTTACCAGATTCCAAGCATTGTCGACTTCGAAAACTCGACAGGTCTTCTGTGGGCTGGGACTCCTCGTCGTCCCCCTGGAGACCAGCCGATGGCATCCACCGAACCTCATGAGAACTAAATTCGCATGTCTTCTGAGACTTGACGCAGTTGGTGCATGCAGGCCGGACCCGGTCACACTTCACGTGACGAACCCTACAGGTCTCACAGCCGCCAAGGGAGTAATTACCACGTCGGCGCTGATTCTTCGTGTTTCTTACAGCCGGGGAGTTTCTGCTTCGCATTTTGGGCATGGAAGAGGCGGCAGAAAGGAGAAATGCTGTTGACAGAGCAAAGGAGCCGCATTGGACTGCCTTGAGAATGGGATATCCGGAAGTGGCTGCCAACTTTGCTAACGCCCCGTTATTTGAAAGTTACGTTTAGGGTAAAACTTCGGAATCACCTGCCTAAACCATCTCACGGCTTTATCAACTTTCTCGTTTCACAACTAACTTAGCAATGAGACCTTTGCTAGGCTACAGAGAGGTTACTTAGACTAGAATAAACAAATAAAAAATACAAAATGAACAAATTATATTCTAAAGCCTATATGTATTTTTATATTTTCATCATAAGCCTTTTATGCTGTCATTCAACAGACAGAAAGGCAGCGTAAGTTAGGTACTTGCGAAGTGTGCCATTTTTTCCCTTAGACCACCAGAGAAATAGCTGTCAATACTACTGCTATCCTTCACAACGAACCCACCAGAACAGACACTACAAAATATGACCTACATCGTTTGGTGTTGAACGAGCATGTAGTTCCCAGTCGCATTAGCGAGGTGAATGAATAGCACTACTCGACTATACGCTCCCAGGCTATACGGAAAAGCTTCCTATTGTAGACATAGTACAGGATCGGGTTGAGATACCCGATAGATTCGAGATCGGGTTGGTCGGTCCGATCGCAGGTGAATGTCCTGCCAACTAGTCCACCCCAGGCCACACTAGGCGGGGAGAGATGAAGGCAATTGAATTAGTCCGTCAACTATCAAGATAACATAACCGAGGCCTATTCCCAGATCTACTAGATGATTCGGGGGGCTGGAACCGATCTCCTAGCCCTCATCTGGAGTACCCCGACCTAATTGGGCTGTAGGTGATTAGAATTCAAGGATAATAACTACAGTTAACGGTATAATATAAATGCTTGCAAGGGCAGCATCATCAGATGGGCCAACCCAGTTCAGTTTAACATCATCATGAAATCCTTCACTGTCCTACTCGCCTCGTTGGCAGGCCTCGCTCAAGCCTCTCCTCATGGCTCTTGCCCCCGAGAATGCTCAGCAGAGAAAATCGACATCCCACCCATCTTTGGGCTCGAGGTAGTCTCTATTCAAGCAACCGCCATGTTCAACGAAACCCTTCTGCCCCTGACGGAACCATGTCAAATGCATTCCTTGTGGACCGTAACCTCACTGGCTTGTCCTATTGCAATGTCACGGTCACCACTCGCCACCCCGGCTACGTCGAGGGAGGCATCAGCACCGGCGTTTACCTGCCTCTCAAGGGCTGGAACGAGCGAATGTTGGGCATTGGCGGCAGTGGCTTCGTTGCGGGGAACTTGCAAGCTGCTGTACTCGCGCCTATCGCGTCTGGCTGGGCCACCGTGTCTTCATCGGCTGGACTTTCGGTGGGCACAATGGCCAACCGGACAACTGAGGTTCAAAACTCGGACGCTTGGGCTTTGCGCAGTACTGGCAATGTGAACCTAGAAGCTCTCGCCGACTTCGGGTATCGGGCCCTCGGCGATGCTGCCGCTATCGGTAAAGCAGTCGTCGAGAGTTTCTATGGACAAACTCCCAGATACCGCTACTGGAACGGCTGTTCGACTGGCGGGCGGCAGGCTTTGATGCTGGCGCAACGGTACCCAGACGCATACCATGGCCTTCTTGGCGGCTGCCCTGCAATCAACTGGGCCAGATTTTTGTCCACCGATATCGTACCGCAGCTCGTTATGCGGGACGTAGCTGGGGGTCATATCCCGGCCCCGTGCGAGTTCCGAGCCATTACTGCTGCCGCGCTGGAGGAATGTGATGGATTGGACGGTGTCGTGGATGGATATGTCACGGACCCTAAAGTATGCAAGTTCAACGCTTCCTCCGTCCTAGGCGAACAAATCGACTGCCCCGATCTCCCCGGCGGCACAACCACAATCTCTGAAGCTGCTGTGGCAGCTGCCGAAGCTGCTTGGGCAGGATATCACACCGTCGACGGCGAGTGGCGCTACTACGGTGTGAGCCGGACCACCAACATCACTGGAGGTGGCACCCTTGCCAGCACTGCGTGCCAAGCGAATGGTACCTGCAACCTGGCACCCTTTGGCATTGCCAACAACTGGGTCAAGAACTTCCTTATGAAAGACCTCGAGGCCGATCCCATGACTTTGACTCTTGCCGAGTTCGACCGGCTCTGGCAAGTCTCGGTTCAAGAGTGGGCTTCTTTCTTGGCCACGGACGACCCGGATCTGCGCCCCTTTCACAAGACCGGCGGAAAGCTCCTCGTATGGCACGGCCTGGATGACATCCAGATCTATGCGGGCGGAACAGAGGAGTACTACAACCGAGTTCTGGCCGTCGATTCAAATGCAACTGACTATTTCCGATTCTTCCAAGCTCCTGGGATTGGCCATTGCTCTGGAGGGGCTGGGGCGTATCCTGGTGAGTCTTTGCAATCTCTCATGGACTGGGTTGAGAAGGATACGGCACCCGACACTCTGTATGGCCGTACTGCAACTGGCAAGGAACGTCCGCTCTGTTTATACCCTAAGAAGGTCATGTATAATGGTGGGAAGAACACAGATGCCGCTAGCTCTTATAACTGCGTTTAAGGCTTTGTAGGTTAGATAAAGGCTTGGGGTGCTAAAGGCTCTGTTATTTCACGGAATATTCTCAATACTGGGGTGGAATGAAGGACTGCTCTGTATCCGTTGCTAGGTGATCCCAAGAGTTCAAATGGTGTTAGGCCGAGACAGAGTAAATATTAGGGTTCGAGTTCCTAGACCTGTCTGAGGCGAAAGAGCTAGATTTTGACCCATATTTCCACATATTGGTGATTCTTCTTTCAGTTGTAATGGATCTACAGTTGTTCATGGCTTACACGGTAGGGCTACCTGGAGGATAGTATTGGCGGATCTCGGCTTTCTCTCCAGGCTATAACAGCCTGATAGAGTAATATTAAATGCTTGTAACTAAAGAGAGCTAGCAATAAGAGTTGGAGGTTGCCCATGTATCGCGGGGCAAGCCTATCTTAAGCTTTACAATGAGAACATGCCCAGGTATGGAACTGGTCATCGCAAGGGCCAGTCAGGGGGCATGATACGTGTAAAGGCCTCAAGCTGTTCAAATTCACTCGGTACGATAACCGACACCCTGCCGCGAACATTACATAGCATACTTGAAGTAGGGGTTCTTGCGATCCGTGGTGTCCTGCTCTCCCAACTCTCGGCCCTGTCGCTCCTGTTCCTCCTCAGACAGACCGCTCGCGGCCAGAGCACGCGATCGGCGTCGGTTCTCGCAAACGTACCAACACCTCCAGGCGATGATGACGAAAATCTGGCCGCCGAAACAAGCAGAGCAGGCAACGGTGCCGCCGACGTAGCGAGGGGCATCCTTGGTGCGGAAGACTTGGGCACCAGCCATGTTACCAACACAGTAGGCGATCAGGGTCAGCGAGGACACAACAGTTCGCTTGGTACCTCCAGCGACGTTGGAAGTGACTAGGAGTAGGAGAATAAATGTTAAAACTAGATAAACAGGCGTGTCTAGGGATCAAAACTTACTCATGCTCCAACCGAGGAACAGGGAGAGGGAGAAGACGACAGTGATGTCGAACATGCCCCACTTAAGCCACTTGTGCTCAGGTGTGTTAGGCAGCAGAGACATGACTAGAACACCCACAAATGGGAGAATGCAAGAGATGATCATAATGTACATGCGCTGGTTCTGGAATTTGCGGAGGTAGAAGGCGACCGCGATGAAGACGACGACATACATGGCTGCATTCGTTAGTTTCCAGCTTACATATGTTACTTATTTCGGCCAGTACACGTACCGTTACGGGGGAGACCCCAAAGCATGGATTCCCAGGTGCTGAATCCAAAGGTTTGGTAAAGCAGGGCGCTGAAGGTGGTGATGCCGCTGCAGCCAACTCATTAGCCTTGGAATGTAATTTATCTCGCATCCTATAGCTTACCCGTTGGGAATACAGGCCAGGAAAGTGTTGGCAAAGACAAAGTAGACTTGGGGGTCCGTGAAGCACTCCTTGAAGTGATCCCATCTCCAAGCCTTGCTAGTGCTCTCCTCTCCAGTCTGGTTCTCACTCACGCGTGCAGCTCTGTTGTACCAGTTAGTTCAATTCTCTCGAATCTTGCTGTCTGACTTCAGACAATGAGGATAAGGTAACACCTACGCCATTTTCTTCTCCTTCTCGCTCAGCCACCGAACCTCCTGAGGGGTTCCAAGGATGAAATAGCAGAACACGGAGCCGGCAAGGGTCAAGCCACCTAGGAACAGCGAGATGGTACGCCAGGCCGCGATGTGGCCTTGGGCTGTGGCGTATCGAGCAATGCCGTAAAGCATCAGGTTGCAGACGATGGTGAAGAAGCCTTGGGAAGACTGCCAAAAGAGTGATCGGTTGGCATGCTCGTCAGTTCGGTACCAGGCACCGGTGATGAGGAGGAAGCCGGGAGAAATATTGCACTCGAAGAAGCCCTGGAGAGCTCGAAGAGCCATGAGCTGAGACCAGTTGTGGCATGCGCTGATGCAGAGCAGGCAGACAGCTTTCGTGTATCAGCTTCTGTTCAGATTTATGTTGATTGAAGGGGGGGTTTACACCAGCCGACCATGTAGATGGTCAGGACGCGGCCAAGGTTGTATCTTTGCAGCAGCCAAGTCGAAGGGAACTCGCCAATGAGGTAAGTAAGGTAAAAGCTAGTTGAAGCTCTGTCAGAGATGTAGTCCTATCCCCAGGCCAGAAAGACTTTGTACTTACATGGTGGTCAACCACTGGAACTGCTGGCCAACCAACCCGACATCGTCGTTCATGCCAAAGAGCTGTCAGGGTGTGTCAGAGCAAAGATACAATTGGAGATTCGAAGTGTCCTTACAGCCTGGATACTGATGGAGGTCTTGTCGGTCTGCTGGATACCATACATGAAGAACCTGGTCCAGAGGTTAGTCAATTTCGACTGAGGCAACGCAGCCGTGAGTGCAAGACTTGCATCATTGGGATGAGGTATCGATCGATCTTGCGAGTTAGAGCCTTGTATTCCGCCTCGCTGTACTCTATAAGGGAGAAAAGTTAGAGTCATGCCTCATCCTGATGCCACACAAGGAACAGGGTGCATACCCTCCGACTCCCCGGCCGTAGTGGTGGTAACGGGTTCGAGGCCGATATCCTTCTCATCTTTGAGGTCGGGGATGGACTTCTGGTCAGACTCGTAGGTCTTGGAAGGGTTCGCATCCTGTGACGCCATGGTAGGCTTGCTTTTCACGGTGGTCGGCGTTAGATGGGGGGCTTTACTGTCCGGATGCTCAGGTGATGGTGTTGGGACACTGAACGGAGGCTCTTGAGCTCGTTGTCGATCGACCAGAAACAATGTAGGATGAGGTCTTATATATACATATATGCACAGACATGTAAAAATCCTGGGGTAAAGATGGCCTTGGCCGGAACCACGAGTTATCCCTTATCTGGAGACGGTTCTCCACTGTATACATCGTGAGAGCGGGGGAGATCCCTGCCCTTACTCGCGGACAGGTAGACGACAAAAGTCGCGATATTCACACGCCCGCAGGTTAAGTATACCATTTACAGGTGCATCTCGCATGCTGCAGGGACCGTTCGTCTTTCCAAGCATGCATCCGGTTCTCTGGCTCGAGGTTTAGAAGGAGTGGGGTGAGAAATTCTGCTCTGGTTCTGGTGGCTATTAGCAGATCCGCTCCCCTTTCATTACTGCGCTTACTCCCAATTGGCCCAATAACTAATCCCCTCCCAGTATCGGTGTTATTTACCCAAGCTCGCCTCGTTATCTCAGCCCCTCTATCTTATCTTGTGAAGAAAAAACGGACCAGAAGTCGATGATTAGCGACGCGAGCATACAGTTCCGGTGCTTTTATCAGATAGAGAACTTGCCAGCGAGCGCGCCGGGCTATGGGTGGTTCTATGATATTGATGAGGAGTTTCCGTGGTCGCTTTCTTCTCCCCTAATCACTGTATCCGACCCCCCGGCAAGATATCCCAGAGGCTCCCGGTGTGACAACCGACAGCTTCGGCAATCCGCGCGCAAGACTCGAGCTGTCGCGGGAAACGCCGAAAGTGCGGGGTGCGTTAACGACCCCGCGAGGGTGAATGATATGCTCCTTGTTGCATCAAACGGACGCGAGTCAATCGCCTCTCGCAGGATTTATCTATTCCCGAGCATTAGAGATAGGCCGGGAACACTTCCGGAAGCCGGTGCGGACAGTAATAAGACCTTGGTGCTTGAGCCATCAAGCGGCGGCATATTGTCACACGATCTCCCTATCACTTGATTGTGCCTTAGCCACACCACCATGTCTGACCAAGGCCCCATCCCCGTTCCCAACTCTACTAAGCCGTTCTGGCGAACCCAGCTCCATGAGCTAGACAGCCACCGTAGCACTCCAGATCTCCCTACCGAAAGTGATATTGTCATCGTGGGTGCTGGCTTCGCCGGTGCCGCTCTGGCGCATTATCTCTGCGCCGACAACCCCTCCCCGCCCTCTGTGGTGATCCTCGAGGCAAGAGAAGCGTGTTCCGGTGCCACAGGCCGCAATGGTAAGTTTATTCCCTTCTACTGAGGTTGAGGCGGCTGAAGGGAGAGAAAAGACCATGCTAACTTTGTATTTCAGGCGGCCACTTGAAGCCTGATGTCTACTTCGGTCTCCCCAAGTATATCAAGAAGTACGGCGTGCGCGCGGCAGTAGAGGTAGCCAATTTTGAGGCCTCACAGGTTCATGCGGTCAAGGAGCTCGTTGAGAAGGAAAAGATAGACTGCGAGTTCACCCTCACCCGAGCCTGTGATGCCACGCTCGATGAGAGTCTCTCAAATGAGACCGAGGCTGCCTTCAAGGAACTAGTCAACTCAGGAGTGGCGAACCTGAAGGATGTTCACTACACACCTCGGGGACAGGCTGAAAGGGTATGATTCCCCCGCTCTGGGTTGATGAGTTTTTTCTAACCACCGCCATCAATCAGGTCTCTGGCGTCAAAGGTGCCTTATCATGCTTCACCTTCACCGCTGGCCACATCTGGCCCTACAAGATGGTGATGCATCTCCTGAAAGGCGTCGTGGATAAGGGGGCCAACCTACAGACTCACACCCCGGTTAGCCGGGTGTCTGACAAACCCCTACCCGATGGGAGGTGGGAGTTGGTCACTGAAAGAGGAACAATCAGGGCCAAGAAGGTCCTGCTCGCTACCAACGCCTATACCCCGCGTATAGCCCCTGAGTTCAAAAACCATATCGTCCCCGTCCGCGGCATCTGCAGCCGCATCGTTGTGCCCAAGGGCAAGACGGCGCCTTTTCTCCCTCAGACGTACAGCGTCCGCCACGGGCCGGCCATGTACGATTATCTCATTCCTCGGAACGACGGGAGCATCATTGTCGGTGGTGGAAAGCCCAAATTTTGGTCTAACAGATCGCACTGGTATAATGTGTGGGATGACAGCAAGCTCATTGAGCCCGCCAAGTCTCACTTTGATGGTCTGATGCAGAGGACCTTTATCGGTTGGGAGAACAGTGGCGCCTACACGGACAAAGTTTGGACAGGAAGTAAGTTAAACCCACTCTCGTGTTAGTGGGATAATGAGTTACTAATACCGGTTTGTCGATAGTCATGGGTTACAGTTCGGACTTTATGCCTTACGTTGGCGAAGTGCCTGACAAGCCTGGCCAGATGGTTTTGGCTGGATTCTCTGGACATGGAATGCCATTGATTCTTTTATCAGCAAAGGCCATCGTGCAGATGATCCGCCAGGGCAAGTCCTTTGAGGAGACCGATGTGCCTTCACTATTCAAGGCGACCAAGGAGAGGCTGGAGAGCACTAAGAACGAGATCATCGAGGGGCATGACGCGGAGCAGAAGCAGATGAAGAGTAGGCTGTAGGATATAACAGGCTATAAATGCCCAGTACGCTTGGAATATAGTCGTAATCTTCTCAATACTGCATTTTGGGGGCGATGTTACAACAAGAACCCATAGGCAAAACATATTAATATATACCTACTATTATTAATACATATATCGCTGAGAGAACTCAAAGGGCCTGCTTCAAATTATGTGACGCTGAACTATGTGAGCGGGTTTGTCCCATAGCCATATGCCCAAAACGACGAACGATGTGCGTGCCAGTGACTGACTGCAACAGCAATAAATCTTAAACATCAATACTCACTGCATATTAGACATGGACTGAGCTCTCGGTATTGCCATGCTTCTTTACGTTTTTGTTCATTCTTTTCTTCAGATGAGTTACTGGAGAATTATAAAGGTACTGTTCTGCCAGGTCCACGCATTTCCTATCTCTCGCATTTGACTACATGACTTTACTTCGGAGAGTAGTTAACAATGCCATCTGCTAGCCCCGGGAGGTCATCGGCAATGACCTCCATCTCTCCAAAGATCTCAGGACAGGACTCCTTCTCCCAGAGGGAAACCCAGGCCCCCTTGAAACTGTTGGTTGATGACACGTTAGTCTCAATTATCCATGATCATGACGAGAACTGGGACAACTTACCCACAGTGTCGTGCACCTGCAGTGTCCCAAATATGCGCAGCTCCAAACCAAACATCGAGATTCTCTTTGGGGAACTTGTCTAGGATGTACTGGTACGAGTCAGGGGCTGGCTTGCCCACTCCAATGGTGTCACAGGACACAAAGTTGTCCGATGGAAAGTCCACGCCTCCGGCAGCGAGATATCCAGCCACACGCTGGGTGTCACCAGAGGTGAGAGCCCACACGTTGAAGCCGCCACCGCGCAGCTTCTCAAAGCATTCTTTCAGACCCTCTCGCGGCTTCAGCTGGCGGTAGGCGGCTAGCAAGAACTCGCGATCCTCGTCGGTGGCAAACTTGCGCGGCTCCTGAATGCCAGCCTGCCACAGTGTGCGGTAGAATATGGCCCGGAAGATGTCAAAGAACTTAATGTACTTGCCCCCGGAGAGACTCATGTAAGTGTACTCCTTCTCACCGGCCTCCATCCAGGCGTACCCGAAGATCCGCGGTCCAACGTTAGTGGCCCTCAGGCGATCGCCTAGTCGGGCCTCGATAGCCTCATAGTAGACCTCGTATGACACCAAGGTTCCTACAAAAACTCTTAGTATAAGGCTGCATAGTAACTATGAGGGGGTTGCGGGTTCTCTCAGGGGCCACGCACCGACGACGTCGAAAACCACGTGCTTGTTGTCAGAAGACATTAGGATTGAAGGTACAGAGGGTTGTTTGGGAAGAATGACGATGAAAGACTGAGTGGCTTGATTGACTCTTGCTCAATCGAATAATAACCATGTCGATGGCTTCTCCTCTGGATTATTATCTGGGGTACTGATAATCTAGCATACACGACCCTACCCCACACCATAACCAATGCCCCTCACCTGGTGCATGATCGGAGAACCGCGCTGTTATCGGCGAGACACACGGCCAAACCCGATAGCTAAGGGCCGGCTTAGCGGGGTTTACCCCTACCAGCTTCCACTAACCCCGCTCTGACGTCGCGTCATGTCGCGTCGCGTCGCGTTACAGATCTCTGGGTATCATCATCCTGAGCCGGATTTGAGCCCGGAGCATGGAAGGGCGATACCCGGCTTGACACCGGATGCGGGGGCCGGCGTTGAGAGCGGGGGATTGGGTCGGATCGCGATAGTTCAGGCCTCCTTTCCAAGCATCACAGGCTTCGATAGGGAGGAAGCGGAGATGAGTGGGCCAGTGCTCATGGCGGCATGTCTACTGTTTGGGGACAGCATGATGGCTGAGAGGTTCTTGCAACGTGGGTTCATTCATCTCAATTGTGCTGACTATTGATCTTGTTCTATCGCCTTCATCAGGGAGGCCGCCGTGTCACCAATACACTCCCAAAGCGACCGGAACTGAATCCCCAGTACTTCCCGCGCCCTCGAGTTATCATAGCCGTACACATCCGCAGGAAAGTCGTCGATGGGGTCCTTGGGCAGCTTGGAAGCGAGCCCCGGGTGCGTCTCTCGGATAGCATCCACGATGCGCTTGTGCGAGCAGTGCCCGCCAACCATGAAGAAGCGCTTGCCTCCCGCCTCGGGCACTTCAATGGCTCTCACATGTGCCAATGCGAGATCTCGCACGTCAACGAACAGGTACGTGCCTGTGGGCGGCAGCTCGTTGGTTGTGACCTTGCCCTGGACAAAGTCGCGGATCCGTGTGTTGGAAGTGTTAAGGCTACCCAGGTTCTCAAGATGGTGGGCAATAGGGCCATACACCAGAGGCGGGTTCATGGTAACCAGGTCAAATATTGGTGTTTCGTCCTCCATGAACTTCCATGCTGCCTCCTCGGCCAGTTTCTGTGGTACGCATTTGTCAGACAGTTCTCATTTGCTTTGGCTGTCCTCAAGACGCTTCTCACCTTGCTCCCACGATACACCAGTGAGCGCTCCGCAATGGCCTCATTCCAGGTAATTGGGTTCCATGACGACTCATCGTAGACCTTGGGCGGCGACGCAGTGTTCACAATGGCCGCAAATGATGAAGTCAAGACCACCCGCTTCACCTGGGGCGCGTACTTCTGGATCGCTTTGAGTATGCCCGTGGTTCCGTCGATGGCAGGGTTCAGCACATCTTTCACGGGATCCTGCCAGTTGTCGTGGAAAGGTGAAGCTGTGTGAATGACATAGTCAAATGGCGGCTCAGATTGAACTGCCTTTGTTCGGTTGGTCGACGGTCAGCTTCTACTTTCTTTCTCTGTCCTTCCAACGTGATGGACGGAAGATTAGATATGAGGCTCACCTTGTCGAATGCGCCTCTGCTGGCAATGTCGCTCACAATAACATATGACAGCCTTTTCAGCTGGTTGCCGCTGTGAGCAGCAAGGATCTGATCACCTTTGGTCTTGGACCTGACGGTCGTGACCACAGTGTGTCTACCAAAAACGCCAACATCAGCTTACTGTGTCCTTTGCAAAGCATCAGATTAAACACACCCTCTCTCCAGAAGGGTCTTGACAACATGAGCCGCAACAAAGCCACTACCTCCTATGAAGTGGTGCGCAGTTAGCGTGGCGCCTCGCATGGGGGTTGCCAACCTTACCAGTCAAAAGGACTTTGCTCATCTTGGAAACAAGGGTTATGTTGTGCTCTCTCAAATGGGACCCGAAGTGAAGTTCGAATTACTATAGGAGTCGATATGATCAGGGCGAAATTTACTCTTGAGCTGGGAGATAAACAACTTGATTGTGCGATAATGTCGGGGCCGAGATGTGTTTTCGCAATGCGATTTCTCGGCGGAGGGCGCCTTGAGCAGCTCGACCAACGCGTTCCTCCGATACACCACCCTTAGGGGTTAACAAACCGGCTACACACGTCGGAATGGCTAGCTTATTGAATAAATCTATAGAAATTTTTACATAGATAGAAGCATTTAGGAAGAGTAGAGGATTTCTCCGACGTTGACTCCCGACGGTTGTTGATTGAGATGGATTGACTGAGCTACCCTAGAGTTGCTTGATAGACTTGGTGTGGGGCATTTCGCGACGGATTAGCTCCTCCGCTTAAATCCGACTGGTTGAGCTTACACGCGAATTGTGGATCTTCCGTTGTTGATAAACGCGTGTCTCTTGAAAACGCGTTCTGTACAGGTACTACAACATTTCCCCAGAAAGAAGATCCCATTCCGGTGCCCATTGGAATGTCTCCAGATCATCAACGAGCAGATTATCAAAGAAGAGATTCCCATCTTCAAATCCAAAGTTGATGTCTCCCATCGCGGCCCTGTTCCACGAGAGACTCTTGTCTGAGAAGAGCAGACTCTCAATCTCGTCTGCTATTGCCGCCGCTTCAAACACAGACACTTGAGCCGCCCAGGAAAAGGCAGATGATACCTTCTCGACCATGGGCCTCAGCTTGTCGGCGCATCTGGTCGCCTCGCTCCATCGCTGGCCGATGTTGGTGAGTATTTGCAGGCACTGTGGGATCAGGGTCTGCACCATGCGCTCAGCCTGCCCCCTCAGCGGCTGGTATTCACGCGCAGACCATGATGCATCAAGGGCAACGAGGGCGGTTTCAAACAGGATGTGCGTGCCGTGCCAGGGGTAGAAAAGTCTTCTGCGACGCTCTTGGGATAGGTAATCTTCGATCAATCGCTGACAGCCCTCCGAGTTAGCTGGGACCGACCAAATAAAATAATTCTGGAAGTTCAATCACCTGAGACGACTCTAGTACTATACCCCAGTCATCCGGATGCCTAATACTCAGTGTCGGCGTGGGTCGGTGAATTCGCAGCCGGAGGTGGTAGAACTGCACGTGCTTAAACTCAAGCATGTTGTATTGCGTGTAGGTCTGGGCTTTAGCGTACCAGCCTTCCAATCGGTGAGTAATATCCGTGATCCAGTCTCTTATGGTGGCACCGTGGAGGGCTAGATCCTCTTTGAGATAAAGGACTCGATGGACTTCTGTTTCCAAGGACCGGTACCGATAGATATGATTTGCGGATGACTTTTTCCTCATGTCATCTGTGATAAAGGTGTCTGGCTCATCAAGCGAAGGATCTTTGAGCTAAAGGATGTAAGCGACTTGGTGTGGACTGGTGAGTGAGTTCGTGGGCGACTCCTTACTTTGGTGGTAATGGCTTCTTCAGGAAATGACAAAGGGAGACGAAGATTCGCGCACAAGGATCTCTCCATCCCGTATGCAACCCAGAATAGCTCGGACCGCAGCCGTGCTTGCTCCGGGTCGATTCCTTGGGGAAACTCACGATGTAATCCCAAGGCCAGGACAATTCGGACAGCATTCGCGATGCATGTCCAGTTATCCACCCGCTCCGGGCACATGTGAGCAAAGTGAGCTAAGAGCAGAGATATCTGAAGAGCCTTGATTTCGCTTGGGTCCTCTAGCACCTGCAAATGCTTTAGAGCGGATTTGTAGAATGACTCGGAGGTTGTTCGAGCTTGCTGCTCATCTTTCCAGGTCATGGTGAGTGCTGAGATAGCCAGGACAAAATACTCAAAAGGGCCGAGACCCGAGTCGGTGGAAGCCCCATAGACTGACGGCTCAGTCGAGTCTTGAAGGTCTTCGTTCTGCGTTCGCTCAACGATACTTTGCAGCATAGTCTCGGAGATACAGGGATATTGAGGGAGGTGTGTGCCAGCATAGTTACGTACCATGCGCTCGAGGGCCCAGTATGGAATGCTCTTGAGGTCAATCAAGTTGCTTGTGTAAGGTCTCTCTGGCTGCGCTGGATGCTGTCCACCAGCGTCTGAACTATCTCCTTCAGAAGTGGCTGTCTCTGGACCTTGGTTCTGGGTGGTGGCAGAGACAGCCAGTGGGGGGCATGATGGGCGGAGAAACAAGGTCGTTGAGATCTTGGACTGGAGATACGCGCCGGAGCTGGGCACTCCAAACGATATGGTCGCTTGTGCAACTTTGGAGGCCATTGAGGAAGGGAGGTGCTGAGGCCCTGTTGGAAGAGCAAGCACTTGGGCCTCAAGCTCGGCCACACGAGCCTCAAGGGACTTTACCAGACTGCTCAAGCGTTAGTTGAGGGGTTTATCACCGAGTTAAAGCAAGACAGGACAGAGGAAGTCGGACCTTCTTGGGACGGGCTTTCGTGTTGCGGGGTCGAAACCTAGGCATGGTGTGTCGGCCAACTTGCACGAGGTGCACTGCGGAAACTTGAAATCACACTGCCAATGTCTGTTAGTTGATGTTACTCGTTGAGAATAGGCTTATTTATCTCCAAGGGTTGGGTATTTACTTTTGTCTTCCGTCGTCTGCATCGCGTGCAAACTTTGGTCGAGCGACGATGTGATTTTTGCATGTTTAAGACTCTGGCTGAGATGCTGATTGCTTAAGCTTGCATCCTTGTCATGGTGAAGTGGAGATTGGATTTATCGAAGGATCAGGACTTGAGTCAGGAGCACAGTTATGTAATCAGACGCTACCACTATCCGTGGACCGTAGCCGAGAGCGAAAAGATAAGCCTGGCAAATGAACTCGCCCGGAGTACCCCAGGTTACCAAGTCCCCGCCAAAGCACCAAGCAGAGCACTCCCTCCTCCTACAGCCTACAGAGCAACCGTTGGCTTGATTTGCCCGCTCACGATTATTCCATAATCGATTATCTTATCAGTATCTGATTTACTCTAGCCTACCCACGAGCGCCGTCATGTTGCAGACATGCACGCGGTGTCGAAATCGGAGGATAAAGGTCTGATTCGCAACCCCTCTTCACTCATCACCCCCATCATGACCCCATGTCAAACTGGCGGTCTCATACCTAGCATCTTCTCTTATCTTCTAGAGGACTAATATGCGCATGTATAGTGTGACTCACGCCTCCCAGCCTGTGCCAATTGTGCAAAGAGTGACTTGGAATGCACGTTTCGAGATGATGCTCTCCAGCAAGATATCCCTAGAAGGTCCGCCTACAACCGATTCACAACCATCATTTTCTCGCGAAATAACAATTTGACATATCTTAGAGCGATAGCTGACTGTGCCTTTTTGTATAGCTATATCCAGACCTTGAACGAGCGAATAGAGCATCTCACGTCGCAGCTGGCTTTGAACCGACCAGAGAGTCCATTGCAGTATGTGACTTACATCTCTTCCAGACCACGTGAAGATCTTCACTATGGCTAGTGGACAGTAGCTAACATGGCGGCTCGCGAAACGATTAGGACTGCCTCTGATGGTCATTCGACGTCACCACCGTCCACATTTACCCAGCCACTACATATTCTGATTCCGGCCAAGCCAGGGTCCGATCTTCACCTCGACAATTCAGTGCCATCTCGTTTCGTTCGAGTGGTATTTGAAGCGCTACCGCTGGCTGGTACCTCACCGGATATTGATGGCATCATCCCAGATAACGAGCAGTCATTATTACCGCCTCTTCCCTGCACTGACAGATCACAACTCACTCCTAGCGTCCTGCGGTTTCTTCTTGGGCGCTATGATCGTTGTATTAAGCCTCAATATGACATTGTGGTACCCGGACTCTTGAATCATGACGGGTCAAGCTTCAAGAAGCTACCAGACCCTTCAAAGTTCAAGATTCTCATGGCGTGTGCTATTGCTGCCGCTCGAGAGGCCTATGCAACTCCGAACTGGAAGCCCCTGGCACAGATCTGCCGTGAATGGGCCAACGAGCTAGTTACACCCATCATCTCTGCAGGAGACAGCGACACACTGACAGCCATTCTACTTCTCCTCGTTTATGAGTTGGCAGACCCTAGCAGAGGTTTCGCCTGGGAACTTCTTGATCTTGCCGCGAGGACATGTCTGCAGCTGGGATGGCACCAGGCCCCTCTCATTCACCTACCAGCCGGAACCGAGCAAGACCACAGCATGCCTAATGCTAGCGGTCCAATATCTTGCGGGCCCGATGAAATTCGCTTGATGTCGGTTCTTAAGGAAATCGAAGGGTAAGCATACGAACCCTCATCCTAATGAGACTTATGGTTACGAATTGTTTCGCTTAGCATACTAGGTCACTACAAACAATCTTCAGCAGACCCAATATGCTGAGCGGTTCGAAACTTCCAACTACCTCGGAGAACGAGACTGTACACAATCTTTACGTGCAAGTTTCTGAACAGCTTTACGGTCGAGGGCAAGTGTATGAGACTCAAGCCTGTCCTTTTGTAGGTGAAGTTGGCACGTTGATGGAGCTTCTCGACACCGTCCAAACACAACATCCAGTGGCCAAGGAGACATGGCTCGCCTTCCTTCCAGTATGCTTCAAGCATAAACAGTGCATATTCTGCTTCCAAGAGGCCGACGAGGACAATGTCAGGGGGATGAGAACCCTGAGACGTAAGGTTGTCTCTGCCGCATCAGGACTCGTCTCGAGCGTTCATCAAAGTGCCATTTCGGAGTATGGGTTTATCCCACCCATCATAGCAAGCTCAAAAGCGCTGATAGCCGGTTGCTCCATCGCAACGAGCATCTCAAAAAGGTGGACACCGGCACAGACTCATACAAACGACCTTATCAGATGCACCGAGATCCTGACCATGTTCGCGCCACACTGGAAAGGTGGCAAGGATTACCTTGGTGCCTGGAGAACAATTATTAGCCTCCTCGACCTCGAACAGCCAAAGAATACATAGCCTCTTTTATTATGGTCACTTTGGACATGTCTGAGGGTCTTAACCTGCATTGATTTTTCGAACTTGGTTTATCTAAGATCTTTCGACTCGATCCCAGCTCAAGCAATCAACCCGGCATAGCAAACCCGTCTATTCGAATGTCATAGTCCGTACCGGTGGGTTGAGGCATGGCTTGCCCAAGGATAGTTCGAGCCTCCGGTTAGGGAGGTCTATAATGATAGTCGCCAAAGTCTCCATCCTCTCAATTCCCCTGGCTAGGGGAGGTGTTGAGCGGCAAATCGACACGGGTGTCCCCTCCTCATCCGAAAACCATTCTCGGATCTTTGCAACACTGGGTTCCTGGTCCATGGTCAACAGGCGGATCCGGTTCAGTCTCGAAAACGAATTCTTGGAAGGATGGTCCCGGATTCCTTTTGGAATGTTGGGGGCCCAGAGGTGGTTGGTGTGGAACACCGTGTTCGCCCATACTATGTCTGACCCAGATTCGGGGTAGATGAGAGCCAAGCCCCTGGGAGTGCACTCCACAGTGGCAATCTTGCCGGCGCTATCGCCGATGACAAGGTTGACGCACGAAGCCAGCCCCTTGCTGTTTAGCATGGCTATTGCCCCGTCAAAGGATTGGCATTCCAGTACACGACGCATGGCCAAGTGCACCGGTAGCTTATCCTTGGCCACTGTCCCGGAGCGGATAGCGTTCATGCAAATGGCGACTCCGGCTTCGTTAATCCCAAACTTGGCCACGATCCCTGCCTCTCCAAACATGCGGATCCGGGGCTTGCCGGTTCGCCGGATGTCGAAGAAGGCGGTTGAGGTGCCGGCCTCTCCCACCCAGTCCCAGTTCTGGCCAATGTAGACTTCTGAGCCAGAGGTGCTACGCGCGGCCAATGATGTGCAACCATCACTATAGTTGGTGAGCGAGATCTCGCTCCTTAGGTTCAGGGTCAGGATGTCCAGGAAGTCCACCCCCTGGCCAGCACCGGCCGCGATTCCTTTCATTTCCTCGACAAGATCCGGCTCATTCTTCTCCAAGGATGGAAGGTACGTTTCTGCTCGCTTTCTCGACTCTGGCCAAGCTGCCTCGGCCGTGTCAAGGAACAGAATCTTGTAGTTCTCGATGCAGGTTCGGATTCTCTGGGGAATCTGGCTGCCATGGCTGAAGCCAATTTCCCACGACGAGCCGCTGGCAATTACTTCCGGTACACCATTCCACTGTGGGGCGGTATCATGAAGGGTAACTGAGACTGTCATGGCTACCTTTTGACTCAGACTTGGTGGTGGTGGTGGTGGTGTATGTGTACGATTTTAGGGGTGTGTATATGCGTATGCGGCTGGATCAGGGGTAGTGAATGGACAGTGAAGTGAACTATTATCTTGCATCTTAACACACTTAAATAAACGCTGTAAAGGCATGCATCTCATGAACGCTACCGGCCTGTCATTCGGCTTGCCGCGATGCTGATGCCTCGGCCGGCGGGGATCGCCGAATTGATTTGAAAGCGCCGACTGCTCCAAACAACAACGGACACCGGATAACTTGACTCGGCCGGCTAGGTGATTTCGAGGAATTGGCCATGTTGATTTTCATCAAGCTATAACTCGTTCGTAGATACAATCTGTACAGAAGTCAAGGCTCCGATAATGGGCTTACTATCACATTACCCACATGTTCATCATGGGTTCGTTTTCACCCTTGACCAAGACCGCCGAGGTCAACAATGACTATGACACATATGTTGCTGGGGGATTTGCACCACTTCCCGTAAGAGCAGAAAAAAACACTTAGATGTAATAAGACGTCATATTGATATGAAGAATTACAGATTGCCTTGACCAGTGCCCAGGGTTCAATTGCCTATGGTGTTGACGGCAAGTCATACATAGATTTTCTCAGCATGATTGCAGTCACCAATATGGGCCATGGACACCCTAGGATTGTGAAAGCTGCCGTCGAGGCTCTCCAGACAGGGGCCACAATCAACTTGGTTGTCCAAAACCCGCACTATGGACAGCTCGCAAGACGAATCACACAGGTATCAAGTATTTCAAGCAGCATGTTAGGGAACTTCAAGCGGAGGCGCTGATTCAATGCTTAGATGTTCAATTATGATCGCTTTGTTGCCCTCACCAGCGGTGGAGAGGTAGTTGATGCCGCCATGAAGATGGCTCGGAAATGGGGTTACCTTGTAAAAGGCATCCCGATGGGCAAATGCTGCATCTTAAGTGCAAGCCGTTGCTATCATGGCGTAGGTATCTCCAACTTGTCACTCTTTAGCTTCAAGAGCTCTCGTAAGTCGACAATCCGGATCTTTGTTGGTTCTTGAACCATTAGGGGCCCTTGGATCTAACATCAATAGTCTTCCAACCGTTTGACCCTAACAATGGACATATATCCCCGTCAGGACATGAGGTTAGGTTCGGGTATCTGGAAGACCTGAAGAAGGCGTTTGAGGCCGACGCCAAAAACATCACAGCCTTTATCATTGAGCCTATTCAAGGCGCATCGGGGTAAGAGAATACCGCCTGTTGAAATGTCAAAAGTCATTGACTGACCCGGCCTCAACCGGGTAGAGTTATCGTCCCACCAGAAGATTACCTACCGGGGGTTGCAAAGCTGTGCAAGCAGTGTAACGTGCTTCTAATCCTAGATGAGGTCCAAACTGGACTGGGGCGTTGTGGCTACCCTCTATATCAGATGAAGTATGGCATCCGGGCCGACCTGGTTGTGCTTGGCAAGGCGTTGTCTGGAGGTAAGGAATCCCATGCTACCTGATATTCCACGAAGTTAATAAGTGATAGGTTTGTCCCCAATGTCTGGGGTTCTCGGAGACAATGAGGTTATGGAGCTGCTCGACCCTGTAGAGTGAGTTGCTGCAACTGCACCTAGTCGGATGCTGAAACTAACACTAACAGTCTAAAGGGTCGGTTAAACAATGGCTGCTAACCCTCCAGGTTGCGCAGCGGCTCTAGCTGCACTGAACGTGCTTGTTGACGAGGAGCTGTCCGCGAGGGCCGATGAGATGGGAGACTTGATGATTTCCACCATCAAAGCTATGAAGCCCCCGCATGTGATAGAGTACACCGGGGATGCCCTATTGCGCGCCATAGTGATTACTGAGAAGGAACCTCACGTAACTGCGCGACGTCTAGGGGCGTTGTTAGTACAGCGAGGTTTGATCGCAAACGGTATGAAGGGTGGTCGAATCAGGCTCTATCCTCCACTGAACATAGACCGAGAATTGCTCATCAGGGGAGCAGAAATGGTAGCACAGGCTCTCATTGATCTGGAGGGCATCCCTGAAACTTTACCCGGAGAGATTATTCCCTTCAAATATGGCCATTATCTGAAATAGCTAGTCACATAAGGCAAATAAGGATGTCAATTTCGAGTTGAATGTTATTGTCTAAGCTTACATCATCAATTCAACATGACAGTTCCTATGTAGACCGCTACGCTTGGAAAAAAGATCATGTTGAGTTCTTCTATCACCGAACCTAACGGTCTCTTCTTTGCCTACCTCTTACCAACTCATGTTCGTTAACTTGACGGTTTGTTCAACTTTCCCAAGTTGTTGAGCGAGAGTTATTGCGGAAATTCCCATCAAAAGCCGCCAACCGTGTTGATACAGGTTGAGGAAGAGACTTATCGATACTCGGCAGTCGTCGGAACCCGCAGCGACCTTATGTTTGTGCGGCTTGGCCCGGCTTTGTGATGATTGGTAGGAGGCGAGCTTATACCCACCCATCCTCCACGCTCGGCCGCATCGGCTTTCCCCGCGTTTCGAACCACATGGCTACTTTAGCCCTCGCGGAACGCCGATGTCGAGGATGGGTGAGATGGTAGCAATATTCTCGCACGGGATAATAATGGATACGACACGGATGTTGCTCCGGGTGAACAGACGAGCTGTGAAGTTGAAAAGGGGGAACTTCCAGATTTATGGGTTGTAGATAATATGGTGCTGGCGCTTAGGCATAATGCTTCATTCTTTCCATCGTCTGATTGACAAATTAGGCCCCTAAAAGGCGAAGATAAACAACAAACCAATCATGGCCAGCAAACCATTTCCTGCTGGAGTCTATGCCGCCTCCCTTACTTGGTTCTCCGAGGAAGAGCAGCAGCCCATAAACTATGAGATTCAACAGAGGCACCTAAACCATCTGATTGGATCTGGCCTGACCGGAGGTGGGTTAAGCTTGACAGAAAAGTTTGGAACAAAATGGTTAACGAGGAGCTGGGTCCAATGGAGAAGCCGTCTCACTTACAGCCGAGGAGAGGCTTAAACTGGTCGCTCTGACAAGGGATGTCGCCACTCGTATGGGTCGTAAAGACATGCCAATAGTAATTGGAACAGTTGGACATGGTACTAAAGACATCATTGAACAGCTTAGGGCGTCCAAGGAGGCTGGCGCGGATTTTGGACTCGTTCTAACCCCCAGTTACTTCCACTTTGCCATGGATGCTTCTGCCATTAAACAGTTCTTCACAGAGGTGACAAGATTCCGTTATCTCACTACGTCACCAAACCCAGAGAGCTAACGCTGAGCAGGTTGCTGATGATAGCCCCATCCCAATCCTCATTTACAGCTGGCCGTTGGTTACCTCAGGGATCGAGATCAACTCGGACATCATGTCGACCCTGGGCAAGCATCCCAGCATCGTCGGTACAAAGCTGACTTGCGGCGCGATCGCCAAGACGGTCCGAATCGCTGCAGAGTTTAAGCAGGAAGATTTCTGCGCTCTGACCGGCTTCACGGACTGGCTGCTCCCTGGCCTTCATGCTGGAGCTGCTGGGAGCATCTCTGGATTTGCCAACTTGTGCCCTCGTGTAAGTATTCCCCACGAATCAACACTCTGGCATGGAGCGGTAGTCGGTGTTCTAAACAGAAGTAGGCATGCGTGAAGACCTATGAGGCTTACAAGGCTGGGAAATTTGACGAGGCCAGGACTTTGCAGAATGCCATTGCAAAGCCAGAATGGGATATCACGAAGTCAGGCATCAATGGGACGAAGTGGGTGGTCGCCAAGTTGCTCGGATATGGAGATGAGAACTGCGCGACAAGGAGACCATATACCAAATTTACAGATGAGGGACAGCAGAGGGAGTTATTGGCGGCGATGCAAACCGTCTACACTAGTGAGAGAGTTTGAGCTGGAAGAGGATGGAAGAGAGAAAGCTATAGTTGACAAATCTCGGTTCCGCCTGTTTGCGCGCCCGCCTAACCCTCCTCTCATAATTATTAACATTCTTTGTTTCCACCATGAATGTGGTATACCAAAAATTCACGTGTCACGCCCCTGCAAGAATGTCCAGTGTCGTGCCTCTCGGATCCCAAGACCTGACCCTTCAGGGGATGTCATGCTGCCGCTCAGCTATTCACTCCATTCTAGTTTTTTGATGACATCGCTGTCAGCTACATAATTAAAGGGCACACTTAAAGACACATGGTAGTATCAGCTATTCACTCCATGTAGTCAACTTCAGCTCGCCAAACACCCGTTTAAGAGGGCCTCGGAGAGATTTTGGTGATGAGAGGCCAGTTAATGATAAAAGTTGACACTGCTTAATCTTTTCTTACTAATGCGTCAGTCCGAGTTTGACGTTACACCCTTAAGGATCAGCAGCCGTCCACCCTCGATGCGGACAATCTTTCCATCCATAAAAGCACCAGCCTTGCTTATCAACCAAAGAGCGCACCCGACCATATCTTCCTCAGTTCCAGGCCGTTTGGCTGGAGTCTCACCTGCCAAGCGAAGGTTGGAGCTCCCATCATTGGGAGTCATGCCAGAGGGAACCAGGCCAGGAGATATGGCATTCACACGAACTACACCACAAGTATTAGCGTTGATCGCCCAAGGCTCAATTGAATGACTCACTATAGAAGTCTGCAAACTCAGCTGCCATTATCCTCACTAGATGGTCTACGGCCGCCTTGGAGGTCTGATAGCAGGGCACAAACTGGTGATTGTGCACACTGGCCGGGCTGCTGAACAAGATGACGGATCCCCGTCCATCTCCCTGTGCCGCAGCTTTGCCAAAAAGACTCATTAGGCCGGCGGTGAGGTAGTAGGGCGCAAGGACGTTGAGGCGGAAGGTGTGCTCCCAGCCCTTGTAGGGAGCAGACAATGTCGCGGCCTCGAGCCTATCCAGGCCTTCTCCTGGCTTGTACGCGATATCGTTCATATATCGGATGGCAGCACAGTGAATCAGCGCGTCGAGTGATGTTCGAGTCGACTTGATCTTGTCTACCACAGCCTTGATGCCCTCCTCACTAGAGAGATCGGCATGTATTCTGTTGACGCTGTTAGTAAAAGGCCGTGATCATAGGTCAGGTGAAGATGGACGGACGTTGCCACTTCGATCTTGTTGGAACCCGATGAGGACTCGAATAGGCCTTCTAGCTCAGGCTTTACGTCGTGGAGAGCCTTCTCGTTGACGTCTATGAGAATAACGTTGGCGCCGTTGACAGCACATCCTCGGGCTAGCATGAGGCCAATGCCAGAAGCTAGACGGGCCTTCAGTATACAGCTTGGTACAGTATGCCTACCATGGACGAAGCAGGATGGGGAATGTTACTAGTCTTACCTCCTCCGGTGATTGCGACCCATCGGCCAGCGACGTCAAATAGCTCACCTACGCGAAGGTTGGCTGCCATCCTAGAGAATTGAAATGGTGATATAAAATGGCCATCGTCACACGATTCTTGTTAAGGAGCCCAACACCATCTACGGCTTTATTCTAACTGTCCTCGATTTCCCGGCTGCCCGACTTGGGGTTGCTCTATAGGGCACGACTGCGGGCCGGGATCAAGCTCCGTCGGCGGTCCCCGAGAATACGGGGGTAAGCGACGCGATCCTCCGATCGCCAGTCATCTTCGTATCTAGACTCCCCACAAGATCTGAGCCATTGGTCTAGCCGTTATCCGATACTATACTAAGTCACTGTCTGGCCCTTGTGAGAAGTGTCTAGTGCCCGCGTCTCCAGAATCTTCCCAGGCTCAGCGCAGCACCCTCTCCGTTGGCTCTGATATAACGGCCACCTTTTCATCTTCCGGTATTGGCCAATGCTGTCGTAGCAAGGTAAGTATCGCTAGGCTACATGAGTTTGTGCCATGGATCTTTTCACCACCCTACCTGGTTCGCCAATAGCTTTGGCTTTACTCGGCCTTCTTGCCCTAGCGGCACTCTTGCTCGTATGTCTCAACTTCTTCTACGTTGACTTTGCCAAGATCAAAGGCATCCCGGAGATTCCTGGTGGCGAAGTGCTTGCTGGTCATCTGTATCAACTTGGACACGACCACGCTACAACGGCAGCGACATGGGCTGCCAAGTATGGCTGGCCGGTCTATCAGTTTCGAATGGGCCGCCGCCGCGTTATCATGCTCAACTCGTTCGAATCTGCCCGCGAGTGGTTGGTGAAGAACCAGTCCGCGACCATCGACCGTCCCTGGTTTTACACCTTTCATGGAATTGTATCGAAAACATCTGGTGGGTGAAACTGGCCACATTCAGACGCACAACAGAGGAGCTAATTGCGCCGCACCAATAGCGGCAACCATTGGAACTAGCCCTTGGGATGAAAGGACCAAGAAGCAGAGGCGTGTTGTTGGCTCCTTCACTACCGGCCCTTCTATCAAGAAGATGAACAAGATGCTGGACATGGAGACGTGTGCCGTCATTTCAAGGATCTACTACGACAGCCAGAACGAGGCAGACGGTATCTCGCCCCATGTGTACCAAAAGCGTCTTGCCTTGAACCTCATGATGATGTTTTGCTATGGGACTCGATTCAACTCGGTCCAGGACCCAATGCTACTTCAGATTCTCAGAGATGCCAAGACCATTGCTAGGTGAGATTGCTCTTATACAACTTGGACGCTGCAATATCACTAACCCCCCGGCAGTTTCCGATCTACAAATTCCAATCCGCAAGACTTCATCCCTCACCTAAGATATGTGGGCAAGAATCGGAGAATGGCCACTGCAACGGAGGTCCGAGAGCGTCGGGATACTTGGCTGGCGGCCATGCTGAAGACGGTCACAACTAACCTCAACCGGAAACGCCCTGGTGACAAGAACTGTGTCGCTGAGATGCTGCTCGAGGATAACCAGGAGAGCCTCACAGAGTGTATATTTATTCTACCCCTCAGCATTGCTATGTGTCTGCCACCCCTTACTAACGCCCAACAGTGGATATCAAGACCATTCTTGGTGGACTCATGTCTGGCGGCTTTGAGACCGTCTACTCCACCCTTATCATCACCATAGGTATGCTCTCGACGGAAGCTGGGCAGATGATTCAGGACAAGGCATACCAAGACATTATGAACGCGTATGATTCCCCCCAGATGGCATTTGAACAATGTCTGTTGGAGGAAAAAAGTCCATATGTCGTGGCACTGGTGAAAGAGGCTTTGAGATTCTACCCACCACTGAAGATTCTCCCTGCCCGACAAGTCTACAAGACTTTCACATATGAGGGGGCCACCATTCCCAAAGGTCTGTTGGTTTACATCAACACACAGGCTGTTAACTTCGGTAAGAAATTCACACCGGGCCCAGGGAAGATATAATATATTACTAACATTCATCATCAGACAAAGGAACATACGGCACTGATGCCGGCCAGTTCCGCCCCGAACGATGGACCGACAAAGCGAATGGTATTCCTCCCCCTTACCACTTCGCCTTTGGTGCCGGTGCCCGAATGTGCACGGCGGTAAACTTCTCAAATAGACTGCTATACGCTGTCTTTGTTCGCTTGATACTATCGTTTAAGATGACACCGAGCAAGGAGATGCCTCCCAACACGCATCCAATTGGCTACAAGGAGGATCCAGCAGCCTCCAACGCCGTCGCCTCGGACTTTAAGATCGGGTTCACACTTAGGAACAAGGAGATGGTAGAGAGCTTCTTGAGGAACTCTCATGAAGGATTGACCAACTTTGTCACCGGAGACAATGCGGAGCCCCTCTTGCTGTAGTAAGTAGTACGATTAGTTAGGCGACCCCCTGGTAGCTCAGCTATGCATGGAGTACCTATAGTAGCATGAGCAGTAGAATGAGCATAAAATTTGGGGTGATGAAGAAAGTTGATACGAATTGACCCAAGGTCCAATCTCTTCGACGTTGACAGCCAGTGGCATCGTTCATGAAGGTCGAAGTTGCCCTAGTAGACGTACGGATGCGACACTTGGAGAGATCCTGAATATATACTGAGGCATAAGCTAGGCTTTGTGATTCTGATCAGCCTTTGTGGGCTGCTTGCCTTTATTAATTTCGATGGCGATGTTAATTAAGCTGCCTTATAAAAGAGATTACACCTAAACGTGCACGCCCCAGCACATACCAACTGGCTTTCCATCCCGCTTCCGTACCATTGCATCCTTCATAACAAAGTTGACAGATCTAAGAGCTTTGTGGTTCTCCTCGGGGTCCTCATCAAAGGCCACGATATCAGCTTGCAAGCCCTCTTCAAACCACCCGAATCGTCGTCCGCACATATCGCCACCACACGCCTCCCAGCCACCCACTGTGCACGACTCCAGAACATCAACCACCGGGATTCCGGCCTCTATCATCAGCTCGAGCTCCCTGACATTGTCGCCATGGGGGTATGTGCCTGTGTCACCGCCGCAGGCCAGGCGGACACCTAAATCGTGAGCCCGCTTGACTTGCTTCAATATGTCGCGGAACCGATGGGCATGCAGCTTCTCCGCGACAGCCAGGGTAGGCACCAGGATGACTTTCTTCTCGACCATCTTCTTAAACATGTCATCAGTGCCAAAGTAGACGTGTTCGAGAGTGTTGGCACCAGCCTCGATGGCCCCCAACGCACCCTCCAGCGTACAGCAATGCGCTGATACAGGAGCACGCGCAAGCGCTGCCTCCTTAACAATCATGTTCATCTCTTCCTGGGAGAAGACAAGGTAGTCGGGATTAGGCTCCTTGGGAGGATGCAGGACGCTAGGGATGTAAGGGTGCTGCTGCGCAGGGGGACATCTCATGATTCTCCGACGGTAGTCGGCAAAAAACTTGATAATGTCAGCTCCGGCGGCAATTCGTCGTCGAACAGCCATACGGCATGCCTCGACGCCGTCGACGGCATCTGCTCCCGCGGGAAGGCAATGGCCTCCGGAGGTGTTCTCTGTGCGAGGCTCAAATGAGCCTGTACTAGCAAGGACCTTAGTGGCAACAAATAGACGCGGGCCAGGTGTCAATCCCCGAGCGATTGCGTCTCGTAGATTTGCATCAAATTCTTGCATTCCTTCTGAGCCGAGGTCTCTGGAAGGATGGACGTCGTGTCAGCGTATGTTGGTTAACAGTTAGGATGAGTTAACGAACCTATACGTTGTGTATCCCACAAGCAACGCTGTTCGGCAGTGATTAACCCCGCGTATCAGCCGCTCTGCCATACTCTCATCTCTCTTCTGCTGAAGGGCCCCGGCCTCACTTCATGCTGGATATCAGCGTATGTCGGGAATGGGCCAGTTGATGACGGGAGCGGACCTACTCGTAGGAATGCAAGAAGACGTGCGTATGCGCGTCCACTAGTCCCGGCATGACATATCTCCCACGGAGGTCGATGTCTCCCACTTTCATGGTTTCTGAAAATGTCACCTTCTCGTCATCTCGCTCAAAGACCCGAACGATCAGGCCAGTCCCGGAATCAACTGTTACAGAAACATTCTTGCGAACTCGTTTGACCTTGGGGTCAAAAAGCGACGAGGTATGTAATGTGTATTCAGTCATGGCAATGTCGTTTCGATCTAGGGCATCGAGTTAAAATACCCTTGAATGACAGGAGTGGCTTGAGGAATGACAGCTTGCTCGCAAAATCTGGATTACATCAAGATATCAGAGCCTTCTCTGCCGCGAAAGACGGCACGCGTTGATACTGAGCGTGGCATCGGATCAAGGCGCTGTTTCACTGTTGCGTATCGCCCAACTCCGACCCCGCACACCAGGGGATCTAACGAGAACCTGGCAAAGATGGGCGCCGGGAGACGAGAGCGACCGGCTTAGACGCCGAATATCTACGCTTCTTAAAATCTACTATTGTTAATTAGATCTCCATAGGAGGCCATTGGTTACAAGAGTAACAGGCACAGTTGTCGATGCATAACAGCCTTGAAACCTAGCACTGTAAAACCCCGCAACGCCAACATCCAACTGTACTTAAAGTGACGAGTTTCCTGCTGCAAAGAACCGCGAACGCCGTACTTGCTGCAACAGTTTCCATATGGAGATGAAAGCATGACCCCCAAGTCAGGGAAGTCCTGCAGGCAAATGAGGGAGTTACATCTTGGCTGACCGGCGAAGATGCTGGCTACGCATGTAGCTATCATGATTGGCACCAGCACAGCAAGCCTCACTTGCACATTGGCCCAACCCCGCCCTCATTTCCCGGTTGCCTTTTCTTGCTGCCTTTTCTTGCTGCCTCACCGTGTTCCAGTTGTTCTCTCTTGCCCCAGCAAGCAAACGTAAGCAGCCAAGATGAGGCTTGCTTTGAAGCGAGGCGAAGACATCCGTAAAGTCCCGCCCTGTTAGGTACCGTGATTGTAGAGACCAGGCTCCCGAGTTTCGGGACACCGCGTCCTCAAGGTTTTCATCTCCTTCCAGGCTTTTTCTCTCATCTCGCCCAAGCTTCACCTCCTTGAGCCCTCAGTAACTGCATCATGGACGATCTAGAAACGACCATCTTGGAGGCTAGAAAGGCTGTTGAGGCCGCGTCGAATGATGACCCAGATTGGAGCAACCTACTAGCAACACTTGCGGTCCGACTTGGAGACAAATGCACAGCCACCAAAGACAGGGACCACCTCGAGGAAGCCATTCGCATTTGTCGAGAAGCTGTCGATGCAACAGAGAGCGATCATGCGGATCGCATCAACCGCCTGATTTTTCTCGTCTATTTACTCAATGACAAGTTCATGTTGGCTGGTGAGATGGATGACTTGGATGAGTCCATCTCGGTAGCTCAATGTGCCGTTGCTGAAATGCCAGAAGGCCATCCACAATTTTTGATAGGCTTGACAACACTCAGCCACCGTCTCAGAGACAAGTTTGCGAGAATAGGAGCCGCCCCCGATCTCGAAAAGGCCATCGCTGCTTCAAGTCAAGCCTTGGAGGCTATGCCAGACAATCATCAGGATCGGCCGGAACAGTTAGGAGAACTTTCGAATTTGCTCGCGAGCAGATACTCAAGCACGGGAGCCATGGAGGACCTTGAGAGAGCCATTCAGATGGTGAAAAATGGCGTCGATTCAATGGGTCACGGCAATGACTCCCAGAAACCCTTGTTCTTACAACATCTTGGAGGCTTGCTTGGGCTCAAATCTCTGAGAACTGGCTCATTGGCCGACCTTGAGGAAGGTATTCGGGTTGTCGGAGAGGCTGTAGCGATGCCCTTGAGCGGCAATGACAACAGAGGGGTTATCCTGAACGCCCTCGGCCATCTGCTGGCAAGCAGATATGCTGTTACTGGGGCATTGGCGGATCTCAACGAGGCCATTTCCCTGACGAGGCAAACAGTTGACACACCATGCCACAACCAGACAGTCTTGTCTCAGAGACTGGGGAATCTCGCAGTGCAGCTTCAGCAGAGGTTTCTGAGGACAAAGGCGGCAGCCGATCTCGAGGAATCCAGTCAGCTCTCCAAGAGGGCCATGGAGATGCTTCCAGATGACCACCCAGATCAGTCAAGGCATCAACATGATCTTGGGATCAAGCTTGCGCGCAAATTCACCATCACAAACAACATGGCTGATCTTGACGAGGGTATTCGATCTATCAGGCTCGCACTTGAGGGGATGCCTCACGATCATTCCAACAGAGCAGTTTACTTGCACAGTCTGGCCAACGGACTAATCCAAAAGGGCTCGGAGACCTTTGAGCCTACAGATGTCAATGAGTGGATTGCTGTGACAAAGGAGGCACTTTCTCTCACCCCAGACAACCATACGGACCGAGGAGAACTGTTGTATAGTCTTGGGGTAGGGCACCTCGCCGCCTGTGCAGTGAACAAAACAGGGGACGGGGTTGAAGAGGCCATCGTCTGCTTCAACTCAGCTCTGCATCAACCCAATGCACCGACCCTTTGCCGTATCCAGGCTTGTATATCTCTACTGTCCATCAACCCAGATTGGAAAGAAAGCTTGAAGGCGGCCAAGCTCGTCATGGCCCTTCTTCCTCGTCTTACACCACGATCACTCGACAACGAGGATAGACAGAACTCACTGAGCGAGATTGCTGGCCTGGCCTCTGATGCAGCGGCAGTGGCAATACAGTGTGAAGATGTCGCCGCTGCCCTGGATCTACTTGAACAGGCTCAAGGTTTACTTGGAGCTTCACTCGAAGAGATACGGACGGATGTCTTGGATTTACGAGAGGTGCACCCGGACCTTGCGCAAGATTTCGAACGACTCAGAGATGAGCTTGCGAGGCCGGCCGGCCTGAATCAAACAACGGATGAATTGGCATCCCGCGAGAGTCAGGCCCTGCGGCGCTACGATGCTGGAAAGGAGTTTGATAAGCTTGTTGAGCATGTCCGCCAACTTCCCAATTTCAACGATTTCCTACGGGCGCCGGGAATGGCAGCGATGCAAGATGCCACAGACCGAGGTCCCATTGCGATCGTCAACGCCAGTGTGATCCACTGTGATGCTATTCTCATACTGCAGGACCGCATCCAGACCATATCATTGACCGGGCTATCTCTACATACTATCGAAGAGAAGGTGTTGATTGGTGATCGTGGAAGCCCCGAGGTTCTCGAATGGCTATGGGACACTGTGACAGGCCCGGTCCTGGATGCCCTCGGCTTCTCGCAACCTCTTTCGGAAGATGATGAATGGCCTCACATTTGGTGGATTCCTACTGGCCTTCTTCGACAATTCCCTCTGCATGCGGCGGGATATCACAGAGAACGAAGGACTGAGGCAGTGATTGACAGAGTCATGTCCTCGTATGGCTCGTCTGTTAAAGCAATCTTACGTGGCCGCGAGCGTCATGTATCACCCAAGGGAGCGACCAACGCGATTCTTGTCGCGATGGAACACACTCCAGCACGTTCGAACCTTCCCTTTGCTGATGCAGAAATCAAGGTCGTCAGCAGTCTTTGCGCTTCAATGGGACTCAATGTTGTTGAGCCTCATCGGCTGAAGGAGGAGGTGATGACAGGGTTGCAAAGCAGCATGATCTTTCACTTTGCTGGTCATGGGTCTACAAACCAAGACGACCCGTTGGAGAGCTTCTTGTGCCTGGAGGATGTCAGGTCAAACCCCCTGAGAGTGGCCGATCTTCTCAGTCTCAACCTCAAGGAGAACCCCCCTTTTCTTGCATACCTCTCGGCGTGCGGGACCAGTCGTATCCAACAAGAGCGGCACATGGATGAGAGCATGCACTTGGTCAGCGCATGTCAGCTTGCAGGATTCCGTCATGTTGTTGGCACCTTATGGGAGGTCAATGATGAAATATGTGTCGAGATGGCCCGGATCACATATGAGGGCATTAGAGATGGGAAGATGACTGATGAGTCTGTATGCCGTGGCCTTCATGCGGCAATTCGGAGGCTCCGAGATAGTTGGCTAGACGAGCTACAACGAGAGGGGAGTACGGGAGCGGCCAGAAATAGAAGCGGAATTGTGAAGAGATTTGCGAGCTATGGTAGTAGATGGGTGAGGAAGAGGACTCGCATTGAAGCTAAAGGGAAAAATCCCACCTTTGGAACGAAGTGGATGAGAGTTTCCGGGAAACCAGGAATAAGGGGAATGGGAACAGCCACTGCAAGTCAAAGATTGGCAATGAGAGGCAACAGGGAGGACATGCTTGACATGCTGGGCAGAGACGCTTCTTTGGCCATCATTCAGAAGTTCAGGAAGGCACCTTCTCCGAGTTGGGTTCCTTTTGTACATTATGGGGTGTAGTCGCTTGGAAGACTGAGCATACATAAATACCTAGGATACGATGTTTTCCGGTGTTGAGTCTTGATGCTGTTAACCGCATCCTTCACTCATATGGCTAATGGCCGCTTTTAAGGAGGAGATCGATAGCAATATCTGAGTACAGATAGCGGTGTTTATTACAGAAGCGTACCAACTCACAGCAGATTGTCGGGGATTATCGGACGTGGTCGCATGGTCGTTTCCTAGCCGAAGCTGCCATGCTGGCAAAGAAATAAGACGCCAGAGTATTTAGAGAATTACCTAATTCCTTATAAATGTCATTAATAAATTAAGGAAAAGTATTATAAAATAATAGAAAAATTAGAAGATTTTTATATACTTTTATTATAATTTATATTCAGAGCGGGATCAAGTAATATATGCGTCCTCCTGTCTCGTTTTCCTTAACCGAGGTGGCTGCAAGACATCTGTATGTGGCCAGCTGCAGTCATTCTATCGTACCGAGCCAATGGGAGATGGATTCTTCAAAATGAGGCCTCCGACTTCAAGGTGTCGCCCTGAACTCACGGTCTGCTCTCTAGCTCTTCCGCCCACTGACCTTCTCAACTTACAGGGGAACGCTGTCCTGCGAAACAATCTTTTTGCATGCTCCCATGGCTTCCCAGGATCCTCATCCTAAGCGATGGGCTATCCTGATTGGGGTCGGCTTGACTCTGCCAAGACCTGGTGCCCGGTCTACGAGCCCCGCCAACGACATGTCTTTACCGGGAGCGGTTGAAGACATCAGAGCTGCTGCTGAGTATCTCAAAACGGGACCATCTGCTGTCGACATGTCCATTCTCACTGCCACAAAGTCGCCACATGATGCCAGAAAGACCACAGAGACTAAAGAGTACCTACCCAGCCGCGACAATGTCATCTCCAGCATGCAAAGGGTCCTTCAGCTCTCCTCGCCCGGCGACCACGTCTACATCCATTACTCTGGCCATGGAACTATTCGAAGCAAGGACAGAGCAGTAGCATTGGAACTGATCAACCCTACAAGCTTGGAGACCGAGTATCTGTATGGCACCATACTACGGAACGCTATCAACAAGATGATACAAAAAGGGCTTACTGTGACGCTTATCCTTGACTGTTGTTTCTCCGGGAGTGTTCTTCGGGATGACAGATTACAATCCAGGAAGGTTCGGTATCTGGAATACAGTCGTGATGTCGACCTACAATCCGACTATCGAGATCCCTTTCACTCCAATACGTCGCGTGACAGCGAGCTTGGTCTATCCAGACTCCTGGATCCCGAAGGCCACACAATCATTGCCGCGTGTGGACCTCTTGAGGTTGCTTCGGAGCTGGAATTCGATGGAGGTGCCACCAGAGGGGCACTAAGCTATTTCCTGGTTGACTCGCTCACAAAGCTGAGGAGGCGAGGTATCAAAGTCTCCAACCAGATGCTGCACCAGAATCTTCGAGCACAGTTCCATGCCCATGTTCCCGAGCAGACCCCAATGCTTTATGGAAACCGCGGATTCGCCTTTTTCGGAGACTTCATCGACTTCAGCGTCGAGGCTCATCTTCCAACATTTTCTCTGCATAGAAGTATCGAGCATGGTGGTCTTGTTCTGCACGCTGGACAGGCTCATGGAGTGCACAGGGATGACGAATTTGCCTTGAGCCCATTTGAGCAGCAAGACGAGGCCCGCCAACCGACAATCAGAGGAAGAATTGATGCCGTCGACTGTCTTACATCCACGATGAACACTGTGGATCCAAAGGACTCAGAAAACATCAAAAGAGGGTCGACCTGGAAAGCCACCTTGGTGACATCCTTCTCTCCTAGAAAGGTTCATATCCACCTCGATTACGACGTACCAGACAACAACAATCTTATCCAAGCGGCTAGCTCGAATGGCTACCTAGTTCTGTCAGAGAAGGCAGAGAATTCAGTTTTCCGTGTCTCCATGGATGAGCGGAACACATACCAAGTCCGACATCTCACGCCCGCTGGTGTCAAGGATGTAGCAAATATTCCGTTGAGCCGAGATCCAAGTCACCGAAACTTGCTGGATACACTGCATCACATCGCAAAGTACAAGTACTTCGAAGGGATAGACAATCGTTTGTCCAGCCCCATCACTCGAAAGGTCATTCTCATTGAGCACGGCAGACACGCCAGGACCAGACGGCCACTACCTTGTCAAGCACGGAAAGACATTTCTGATCACTTTCGAGAATCCGAGTCGTCGTTTGCTATACCTGGGAATATTTTTGTTTACTCAGTTGTGGGAGGTTCGCAACCTGGTATCTGAGAAGGGAGAAGATGCTTATCTAACTGTCCTCCCCCGGACCCCAACTGAAATTGGGAAGATGGAGCTTCCTCTAGCCATGACTGTTCCGGGCGAGCTTCGCAATCGGGGACATGAACAAACTGAGGACATCATCAAGATATTCATTACGAGCCAACCATTCGTGTTCCCTGGACTCATGCTCCCGCGGCTTGGCCATGTGCCTGGACATCGCGGAGAACTAGATCCATTCTCAAGACTGTTTCAAGACTTGCAAGGCAACCAGGATGGTGATAGGGGGGACAGAAAGTGCGAATGGACGACCCGCAGTTATCTCGTCCGTACTCATATCTAGTTGTACCCCCTTATGCGAAAGGATCATACAGCTCCAGTTGGTGCTCGGGATACACTCGACCATTCTTGACAGTCACTCCCGAACTGTTGCATAGTGTGTACTTTCCATCATTTGCACCCTCAATCTTGTACGGTCCTTCCCTCCGACCGGATATGAACAGATAGACCATGTCGCCTGGCGAGTAGCTATAGTTGTTCCCATAGTCATCAACACCTGGTCTCTTGCCTTTGGCGATGACGAAGTTGTCATCGACGCTGTTACGAACGTTAGACTAGGCTTCATGGATCAAGTTTGCGGTGACCTACTGATTTCCGTCGCTCATTGTGATTACCAAAGTTCGGTGGAGTTGAGTTTGATTGGTATTGTTGCAAAGAGCGAAAGAACATTTGTGGAGGGTTGAAAGGGATGGTGGCATTTTATAGGATGGCACGAACGAGGCGTCCAATGCCCGCCACGTTGCTTGCCAAGCTGCATATCGACTTCGCCCGACAACCATGCTCATCATTAGGCAGCAATCTAAGCCTCCATAGCCACTCGAGGGTGGGATACTTATTCCAGATATCTTCCGTGCTTAATGGGAAGATGGAGGGTGATATTACAGCCACCCGTGCAGGCACTGATACTGACATGGCTGATATCGAGCTTGGCACCCCGACATCCACGTTATCGCAAGCAACCGTGTTATCGCAGGTGACGGCCGGTTTCTTTTCGCGATGTCGCTCTCCTTGGAGGGTTTTGCGTGCTTTCAGGCCCAGGTTCAAACGACGTGAAAGCTGCCATGGGAGCAGTGGGAGCACCCCCCAGAATCAGAGTGAGTCCTGACCTAGTCAAAGTAGCCCCAGAGAAATATTGACGCAAATAAGTTGAGAGTTATAGGCAAGGATACCCTCGGTTCTCGGCCTTGATGGCCGCACATGATGCCTTTCATATCTTCAGACGCTTCTCGGGCCTTCGCACACGCCTTCTACTGCTTGCTCAGGACGAAATAGTCGATCTAGAAGAGCAGTTAAATCTAGTTGACCACACCGAAAGGTCACCTCTGTTTCTGGCTTCGCGCCGGGAGGACAAAAACGAGGAGCGAAAAACGATAATCTCAAAACTACGTACCAGTCTCTCTGCATATGGTGGGCTTGCCAGTATCTCCTTCTCACAGCCAACTACATGCTAACCCCACCGAGTTTAGACGAGCTGCTAGAAGGGAGCCAGAGGGCTCTTGCGTATGAAAGGCCGCATCAGAAATACACCTCCAGTCTCCAGCATTGGCTGGCAGGAAACGCTTGTGTTGCGAGAAAGGAGACAGCCTTTCTGAAAAACGACGAAGACCTGTTGACACTATCATCTACGGAGGACGGGGTAGTGAAATGGCTAGAAAGGACAGTCTGCGACAAGATTGTGTGTCGTTTGGGAAAGGGGGGTATTTCATCGGTCCACAATTGACGGGTTGCTAACAAATTGGTAGGGTTCTGAGCCAAAGTCGAGAGACCCTCGTGTGCATATTTTCCCAAGGTCCTCGACAGTGACAGTAGCAAGAGCGATTCTCAGTCCCCTGATCGCGTTTCTTCTGTTGGCTCCAGTGGTCATATGTAACCTGATCGAGAGCATGGCAGCTAGGTTGGTGGTCATGGTTGGCGCAACAGTTACTTTTGTCCTTTGTGTGTGTCTCTTGACAAATGCTAGGACGGTAGACCTGGCCGTGGCTGGCGCGACGTAAGAGACATCCCCCAACTCTCTGACCATGCGTTTTTACTGACTCGATATTGTATAATTAGGTATACAACTATTATGGTAGTATTTATTGAGGGGAAAAACACCGTGGCATCCTAAAGTTGGGGGTTCAATGTCGAGACCAGCATCGTGCCACCCTTCATTTCTGTCATCCAAGAAAACTAGGTCTTAATAATTTGAGTAGAAATGAGTTTTATTTTGTCTTTTCTTATACAATTTAGGTGGTTTATTTCGTCGCTATTCATAGCAGTGGTTAATCTCTAGTATGCTATTTTCTTCTTGGTCTGAGTGTCTCTCGACTTTTTTTCACCTTCATGAATCCTCTTGTTGGAGCTAAATGATGATCACCGCCTAGGTTGCGGTCACGGAGAGAATGCCGACCCCCCACTTCTCCATTCCCTCTGGTCATCCACGTCATCCACGACTCCAAGATCTGATAAGCATCGCAACAGCCACCACTCCGATACGCTAAACCATGAGTCTATACGCAGAAGCTTCACCCAAAATTGGGCTAGGAACATTCCCATTCGAACTTGTACAGCAAATCTGCCACGATCTGCTGCCATCAGAACCTCATGAATCGAGCAATGACGGTCCCAAAGCCCTCGTTAACCTCAGCGGCGCGTCAAGAATCTTTCGAGAAATAGCGCAGCCTTTAGCATATCGCACTCTCGCGCACGAATCGATTAATTTGCCCAAGCTTGTACGAACTCTCGTCAGCCGACCGGATCTTGCTGCAGAAGTGAGGGAATTTCGCCAACCTCCTATGGGATTCTGCGAAGGGACTGCCGAGGAGTTAAAGGTTCTGAGTTCAGCTGCCCATGAGCTGCACATGTTCTATCAGGGAGATGATATCTCCAGGTTCGGGAGAGTTGCCGACCAAGATATGATACTTGAGGATGTCTGCGTGGAACTCATCATCGCCATGTCACCAAACCTCGAGACGCTGAGACTCTACAGCCCAAAGAAAGGGACCAAACGTGGCAACCAACACCCTCTTCTCTATAAACGATTCCGAAGAGTCAGCAATCTTTTGAAACTTCACTATCTTGAGCTAGGAAGACAGGACACAAGCGAGATGCCATTCACTCGCCCCAGCATCGACACTGCTCTATTACTCAACGCCACGTCCAATCTGCGGCAATTACTGATACGGGGAGTCACAAACTTGCACGACTCGTTCTTTGGTCAGGAGCAGTTTGGCCGCATGCACCCAACTATCGAAATTCTCCGGCACATTGAACTTCAAGAATGTGCGCTGGAAACTCGTGACTGGGGTGAAATGTTTCTATCCCAGTTGGTAGCCATGGCTCCCAACCTTGAGCATTTCAGATACGCGGCAGAGAACTACCGTTATCCTGACCCTGTGGCAAAACACCTTTCGGTGCCTCATATGCTGCGAGCACTTCGCACTCTTGATGCCAACCTCAATATCAAGTTTCTGGACATTCACCTTGGCGCATTTTCTCGTTGCAAGTGGCCGAACCGAGGCAACCTCATCTCCACGACCGATCTCGAAGAGTTCCCGGCGGTACAAACACTCAAACTGGATGAGAATGCCATCTGCCGTTGCTGGGACTCGCCCATCAATATGAGCATGTCTCGCTCAGCGACAGCTTGCTTGACAGAAACTCTTCCTCATGATATCCGAAAATTCACTCTTCGGGTATTCCGAGGCACAGAATCACACATATGGGGTGATTTGGCCGAGTTGGCCCACAGTGTCCATCAGTTTCCAAGGCTTGAATGCGTTGTTGTGCAGGCTATATCAAAGGGTCACAACGACAGCCAATGGGCCAATTTCGAGGATCAAGTACTTGAACAGAAACAGTCCCTGGAGAAGACTTGGTCAACGAAGAAAGTCAGATTTATGGTTCAGGTGTTTAGAGATGTTTTGCCGAATGAGGAGAACGGGGTCTTGGGGATTGCACAGTAAATTTTGACATCAAGTGATAATGTCCCGCGCTGTAATAACGCTCCCTTGTTGCTTTAGATAGCTAGGCCAGCAGATAAACCTCCTTCTCTATAGTCATCCGCTCCAAGATATGTATCAAGGTCTTCAAGAAACCCTCCTTGCACATCTGACCCACTCATACTGTTTCCCGTCCATGCAAAGCAGTCCCACGCCGTAGAGCCACCTGACGACGAACCGAGCAGTTTGTACGGCCAAGAGTTGTCTGTAGTGCCTGAAACCACGATGTGCAAGTCATCGAGACTCATTAGAGGAATCTCGGGCATCTCGAGATCGAGTGCAGCGGTGAAATCTTCAGATGTCATCCCATTCTCGTTGGATGCGCTGATGGGAAGATCTGAGAGGTCTGTCGGGATCTGAGGTTGTGGGACAGTTGCGTCTTCGACCGCATTTTCCTCAATGGATTCGCCAATGTTTCCAGTCGTTTCCATTGCCTCCATTTCCGAGAGGTCTACCACTCGATCGCCAACATCTGTCGTTGGCATGAAGTTCGGCACGGCGTCTGGGTGAAAATTCAAGGGTTTATCAACATGTGAGGATTGTCGCAAAGAGGGCGGAAAATCGGAATCATCTGGAAGCTTCCCATGGCTGATGCTCAGATCCACTGTCATGGCAAGTCGCAAGTAATAGCTGGGCTGAGTGAGAAGTATATCTGACCAGCATGCCCGGGAAGAGTCGGTGATGCCTTTACTTGACGAGAGCCCTGGGAATTGCTGGCTGGCGAGCTTGACGACGTGGCAGATCGTGCTCATGACCCAGTCTGCAATGTAGTAACGTGGTCGATAGCTACTCATCGTTTCGAGGAGGACTTTGACCTGTTGCTGTTTCCGATCAAAAACTTGCACAGCCGTCTGCGATTGAGCGTTGTCGTGCCCTGGTCCAAGAAGCTCAACGTCGATCATGTGTAGAGCTAGCGGGAATGCAGTGCACCCGATACTAGATTTCGGTCAGTAAAGATCGGCAGATGACATCATGTAACTTACGCAGTCATGGGTAGCCAGCGCGTAAGCCCCAGCCGACCCAGTTCGAGAAGACAGTCTGTCACGCTTGCCGCCGCACCCTGGAGTTCTTCTCTTTGCGTGATTAACTTGTTATGAGATTCTGGTGTAGAGATGATCCTGCAGCGCAGTATATCATAGTGGCAGAGAGAAAGTCTCGCCGACCTTGTTCTGTTAGCTTATCGCCCTCTCGATCTGTTGTCTCGACGAGGTGGTCACTTACTGATAGTACATCTCGACTAAGTTGATAAAGAGGGTTATGGATGAGGTAGAAGACCCTGTAAAATCGCTTTCGTTGGTTCGTTCCAGGATTGTCGATTTAACATCAGCCCATGAACTGTACCACCGAGAGAGTGCCATCTGGCAAAGACCCGCGTCGTTCAAGCCAGCTAGCCTCCTGGAGAGGATCCAAGATGGATTGTTATGAAACACGGATGTGACAGTGAGAACATCAGTGAGAATGAGACAGAGGTCGACCAGCTTTGAAAGGATCTCGGCGTGAACAAGCTTGGTGGTGGGATCATAAACGTCAGAGCCGTATGACTCGTCAGCAAGATCTGCGCTTCCGAGAGGCGGGCATCCTGAAAAGCTGAAGTTGGCCTTGGTAATCTTGATGTTTTGACGCGAAGTGAGTGGCAATAGCCTGTCGCAAATGATGCAACACCACCATAGTCGTTTGAGAGTGTTGTGTAGCTTCTGGAATTTGGGGAGCTCGGCGATACTCTTTGTCTTTAATGAGAAGTAGCAATGGGCTTTGGCATCACGAGCGTAGGCGATGGCGACGCCGAGCCATATTGAACCCAGCGGTTTGTTACCAGCTAGGCAGTGTGGGATCAAGTGAGTTTGCGCCAGAAGCAATGCAGCTTGGGCGATGGAGATGGACGACTTTTCGCAATTAAAGTCGTAGAGAAGCTAGAATTGTCAGTTATCGTGGCTAGGCAAAGGAAGGAGTATCACATACCTTAGCTCGTCGGTAGAATGCGAGCTTTGCTTGATGGACGGTGCGAAACCCCAATGACTTGATGGTTTCCAGTGACATGAACTGCGCTCACATGTTAGATGATGAGTCTCACGAGGGCAACAGAGATCTTACCCCGGACGAAACAAACAAGAGTCCCTGCAGTACCAGGATGGACATGCTACCCTGGCTTTGTGAGTCTTGTGAGTTGTAGGCTTGCCAGTGGTCCTTCTCGTTCAAGATGGGCAGCATGGGATGAACATGCAGGAAGTACTGCTGCATGAACTCGTCGAGAGCTGCTCTGTGGGGTACGATGAAGCATCCCTGACTAGTGAGAAAGGCAAGGTCTTGAGGCAGGAGGCTCTTGGTATCGGGAGCTTGTAGGAAAGAATAATCAGGATGACATGTTGTTCCGGGTCTTCTGGCCACCCCCGCAGAGTACTGATTGGCATCAACACCAACGGTCATCGAGAAGACATCTGAGGTATCCGCGCCCGTGATTGGGTCGCGTTGTTTAGCAGGCTGAAAGTCGGATTGCGTCAAAGGCTTGTTCGTTGAAGGAGAGGTGCATCCCATCAGGAATTGATCAGGTTCCGAGGCCTCTCCGAGGCTTGGGCTTCCGGCGGTCGGGTTCGCGATCGATTTCGGAGTCGGGGGGCCATTTCGTGGATTACGCGACCTATACAAGCTTGGTAAGCGACGAGTCGTGGTTCAAGGGGAGTCTTGGAGCTAACTTACGCCATTCCATGTCGTCGATTAAAGGTGCATTGCTTCCCATTGTGTTTGCAGTTGACGCAGGGCTGGGCCGGAGCTTCGAGGATGCACCGGACTTTTCGGAACCGGCAAAGATCGCAAGCTCTCGGGACCCGTTTCCTAGTAGCCTTGACAGGTTGCGGTTGCATTGTCGCGAGGGTTCCCAGTCTTTCGGTAAGATGATATCGATAATGGTAAGAGATGAGCCGGCTCGTGCATGCGCTGGTTTGACAAGAATGGGTTCAAGGACAAAGACAGGGAGGAAACTGATCCAATGCCCGGGCCTTGATTGAGAAGCAGATCAGGTGTCCCACCGCCCGCGAAGGATCCGAGAGTAACTGCCGATGGGACCCTCCCCCACAAATCCCCGCAAATACAATGGTTCTAGCGAGATTCTTGGTGGGTTAGTGGGTGTGCTCGGTCGGCTGGGCCGGTGTCGCGGGGGGCGAGACCTCGCGGGGAGATGGGCAGGGATGTTAAAAATACTACTAGTTTTACTAAACTAATTAGTAATTAAAAACTACAGGGTAGTTTATACTAATTAATATATACTAATTAGTAGTACTACTAGTATACTAATTACATAAGCAGCTTAGTATTAGTATATTAATACTAAAAATTTAAAGTTTACTCTTTTACTAAGATTAATTAGTATTAGTATTTATACTAATTAGTATAAATACTCTAGTATAAATACTAATTAATATAAATACTAATTAATATAAATTACTATTTTTAGAATATATATATATTTTAAATATATATTAAAAATAATATATATATTAAATAAATCTTTTTTTATTATTTTTATAACACTCGCTTATAACTTCATAAGGAAAAATATATAAAATTTAAAAGAAATACTATTAAATAGCGCTTTTTTTTCTCCTTTAGAAAAACTTTTTTTTTATATTAATCTATTACTTCTAGGTTTTTAAATAATTTTAAAAACTTAATAGTTTTAATATTAATTTAATTAAGGTCTAAAAAATCTTAAAAAAAAATTAAGTCTTTTTCTTATGCTTACCTAAACTTATAACCCTAACCCTAAAAAAGCTAAACTATATAAAAACCCTCTCTTAGCTCTTACTACTATTTTCTAAGCTATTAAAAGTTAATAAATTCTTAAAAAATTAAAGAAAATTAAAACTAACCTTAGGGTAGGCATAGAAGGTTACTAACGTAATATAGATCTTCTCTAAGGCTAATAAGCAATATCACGTGATCTTTTTGCTCGTCTATAAGCATAAAAGTTAGTAATTTCTATTTAAAGGTATTAATAAGGAATAAAAAGAAGAAATACCTTAAATCCGGGGGTAATTTAGATACCGGAGAGGGGTATAAGGTAAGAAGACCATGATAAACTATAGCTTCCCCTTGGCCATCCGGAAGATCTTTATTCCGGTCTATTATTTTTAAAGAAATTAAAAATAATAAAGGGTAAAGCATAGAAAAAAGCTTATTTTCCTCTAAGAAAACATATATCTTAGAGATTATGTAATCTTATGAGTTTTTAAGTGGTCTAAGGTAAGAGTTAAATCTTATAACCTTATCTAGGGTAGCTAGCTCTAGGCTAAAAATAGCTTCCTGATCTAGAAAAGATAGAAATTCTTTTTCAGAAAAAGTAGGGGGTTTTAAAGCCCTATATTTAGAAAGTAACTATATAAGGTCGTCGATTATATAAGCATAGGGTTTAGGGTAGCCTATAAAGATAGGAGGAGAATCTTTAATTTTATTTCTAAAAAAAAAGGAATAAGCATAAAAGTAAGGCTTAAAGCACGGAATTTTAGCTTCCATGGTGTATAGGGTAGGGAAAAATTTAGGCTTTCGATTGATAGTCTTTGTGAAGGAATTGGTTGAGTATTAATGGAGTTAAAGACTAGAAACTAATCTGGGACTAAATAGTCTTCTTATAGCTATATCTCATTCAGCGCTCTTTGTATCCGTGCGTATGCATATTCACATAAAAGCCGCTTTTTTAGTGTATTTAATGATATACTTTTTGCTACCCTAGAGCGGCGTTTGAATTTTTTAAGAATTATTACAATATTATAAGCACTATTAAAGTTTACTTACGCTCTGACTTACGCTCTGACTTACGCTCTGACTTACGCTTTAATATAGCTTACCCTATAGTGCTTATAAAGCATAATCGCTAATAAAGGTTAAAATTAAGGTTTAAATAGCTTAAACCTTAAACTTAGGCCATAGGGTAGTATTTATATAGAGATTTTAAACTTTATTAAAAAATTAGCTTTTAAGCTAAGAAAAATTCTTTAAAAATACTAAAAAAATAATATAATTTTAAATAAATTAGTAAAAAGCTAATAAAGTTAATTAAGTCTTATTTACCTATATAAAGCCTCTTTCTCTCTTTATAAAAATTCTTTAAAATTCTTTCTATATTATAAGATAAGTATTACTTATTATATCTTATTATATAATCTTTTTATAAAAAAACCTTATTTTTTTTACTTATTTTATACTATGGATTCTAGCTTTTCTAATACGTAGCCTGAGGCTAGAGATACTATAGAAGTTAGAGGAAATACTATATCTCCTTCTCCTATACCCCTAACCTAACCCTCGCTTAACCCTAACCCTCGCTTAACCCTAACCCTAACCCTAACCCTAACCCTAACCCTAATTTATAAGGCTTAGAAGATATAAATAACTTAATTATTTATATTTTTAAAGCTGGGTTATTTACTAGAGAATTATATCCTCTAGAAGAAGAAGAAGAAGAAAGAAGCTATTTAGTTTCTTGTATTATGTAAGTAAAAATTCTTAAAAAATTATTTTAGCTTTATTTATTTATTTTATAATTTTTAAAATTACTGACTAATTATAATATTAATAGGTGTAATTATAAGAAAAAAGAAAAAATTAAAGGATTTAAATCCTCTAACTTTACTAAGTATTATAAAAATCACTATTAAGATATTGCTTATAACCTTGAGAGTGAAAAATTCTTAAAAAGAAGTAAGTTTTTTTTATTAACTTATAATTATAATAATTAATTTAATTTAATTAGAAAGAGATTATATAAAAATAAAAGAAGGAAATACTTTTTCTTCTAATCCTATTATTAGGTCTTAAACCTAGCTTTTTACTATTATAGAAGATATAGCTTTAAAAAAAATATTAGATTTCTTAATAGAAAATAATATTTCTTTTAAAGCTATAGGTTCTAATTCCTTTAAGGAGTTATTAAGTTATTATAATAAGTAAGTTATTTATATATATTTTTTAAAATATATTTATTAATATATCTATAGCTTAGGACCTAATTTAAATAGGTTTAAAATAAAAGAAGTATTAAATATTTCTTTTAATTTTACTTTAAATACCTTAAATAAGGAATTTAAAGATAATATATCTAGTTTAGGGAAATTTTCCTTAACCTTTAATATATGGACTTCTATAACCTAAGATATCTATTTAGGAATTATTCTTAGTTTTATTACTAAGGATTTTACCTTAAAATATTACTTAATCGGTTAGTATATACCTATTTTCTTATTTATTAAAATATAAAAAAAACCCTATAAATATATTATATAAATAAGCTAAATTTGTATTACTAATTATTATAGGCTTTTATACCCTAGAGGAAAGATATACTAGAATATATATTTATAGCGAATTTTAGAAAGCTATTTTTCTATATCCTAGTTTAATTTTAAATAATATCTTTAGGTAAGGATTTATTTTTATTTTTTTAATTAAGGCTTATTTATTAATATTTATAGTATTACTAAGGATAATACTTCTAATAATAATACCTTTATAAATTTCTTTAAATTAGAGTATAAAAATACTTTAAAAAAGAATTTTAAGGGAAATATTAGATATATAGCTCATATTATTAATTTAATAGCGTAAGATATTTTAAAAAAATATCTCTTTTCTACCTCTATAGAAGAGGAATTATCTAAATATATTAATTCTAAAATAATATATTTAAATAATCCTTCTTTAGAGGTAAAAGCTCCTAGTTCTTTAGATCCTAGTAAGTTTTTTTTATATTTTTTTATATATAATTTATAAATAAATTATTATTTTAGGCTTACTTATAAGAGTAAGGCGTCTTATTACTATTATTAAATACTTGTAAGAACCTAAAAAGCTTTTTTTAGAAGCTATTAAACGACAAAAAGAAGAAGATACCTTAAAAATAGAAAAAACATATATTCCCCTAGGTAAATAATTTTTAATTATAAGTATTTCTTTAAATCCCTTATTAATTAAATTTATAGATAATTCTATTAGGTAGAATTCTACCTATTTTATACTTAATTCTTTATTAGAATTAAAAGAACCTTTAATTTATGTTTCTAATATTATAAGAAATATAGATTTTAAAAGGTTTTTTTTCTCTGAGTTAGATTAGCTTAAAATAGAAAAACTAAGAAATATTTTTTATATTTTCTTAAGTCCTTCTATTAAATTATAAGGCTAGATCTATATAACCTTAAATAAAGCTTTATTATATATTTATTATATATATAATATGCTTATTAAAGCTTAAGAAGGCCTTTTAAAGCATTCTAATAAGGATTTAGTAAGTTTTAAAATTCTTTTTTTTATATATATTAATATTTCTTAAAAGCCTTTTTTTCTAGAATTAAGTAAAGCTATTATAGCTGGCTTAGTTAAACTAGAAAAATATTTCCCTAAAAAGCTTTCTAAAGAAAGTCTTTTTAATTTAAAACCCTATTTTATTAGTATTATTTTAGACCCTAGGTTTAAATTAATATATTTTTAAGAAAAGGGGTTATTAGCATATTATCCTTCTATTATAGAAGATACTATAAGTATTCTTAAAGTAGAATATTTTAAGTAAGTATTTTTATTATAATTTAAAAGGCTTAATTTATTAACTATTAATTAGTATAAAAAAGATTAGAGAAGAAGCTTTAAAATCTTCTAATTTAGAAGATTTTAATAGAGCTAAATCTTCTTCTTTTAAAAGAAAAGAAGATAATTTTAAGAAGGATTTATTTATTAAATCTTTAGAAAATAGAGAAGATTCTCTATTTATTTAGAAG